GACTAATTTTGACTGATTTTGACCTCGCAGGCTTTAAAACAACACTGATTACACGTGTTTTTGACTATTTTCGACCTCACGGGCTACGGATATACACGTGCTTTAAGTTTATTCTATATTACTTAGTAAGACGGCTTAGATATAAAGTATAATAGCTGACTCGTATAGTACATATAATACAGCTGGACGCTTGAGAAACCCTCACATTCCACCCCGCGCCCCACTTTAAGATCAGCATTAGGTATGTTGTAGTGACTTCCTCATAGTCTAGGAAGACGTTCAAGAACTATGCAAATTGTATCGCATTTGCTCATAAAGATGCTTGTACTAATCCAGGTCGTATATAATATGCGCGCTATCAAACACAGAGTCCCCAACGCCGTCGCTAAGCATTGTACGTGTGTTCTATTTACTTACGGTCAGTTAGAATTTTCAAGCAAGCATTGGCTGTGATGTTTGTTCTGCTGCACGCTCCAGCCTCCTCCTCTTCGCCTTCTCTTCTTTGGTCTCCTGTTCGACTGCCTCGACTTTTTGTAGCTCTTGTGATGGTACATTAGGGAGTTTCATTCCAGACATCTCAATCTCCAAGGCCTCGAGCTCGTCTTCAACATCGTCTTCATCCTGATTAGACATCTTTCCTGCCAGCAGTTCACTGACCTCCTGCGCAACAGTGTTAGAACCATGTTAACGCAGTCCGCGAGCAGAGCACAAACCTGTGTGTATGCTTGAGCATCTGCTGTTTCGCCTAATAGTCGCTCCACTGCATCCACACCACCCATCTCTTTATGTATTTCTTTGAGCACTGCGGTACCCTGCTTAAGCCCAAACAATACGTCTTTTTGGACCTGCGCAAATTCGACGTCATTCGTGAGGGCCTCAAGTTGTGCAAGTTGCGCGTCCGTCTTCTCTAGTAGTGTCTCCTGGTACTTTTTTCGTCGCAAAGCTACGAGGGCTTTCTTCTTGTCACCTTTCTGCAGACACTGCTTCGCTATATCGGTCTCTCGTGTGGTTATCACGGTAATGCGCTTCTGGTACTGGTGCAACTTGTCTCGTTGATTCTTCATGTCCAAGATCGCTCTGTCTGGCCTTAGAGTTGTGTTGACGTCGTGACATCATGAAGACGTACCGATCTTGGGCAGAAATCTTGTGGGAACTGTTCGAGTTCCCCATTGTCCGGACCTACTGTGTTCCATGAGCGCGAGCTTGAGGGCACGCCAACTCCTGGTCTTGTGCCTGATGATCGGGAGTGGCACTAGCGCACATCGTTATCGATAAGGTCTTGGCGTAATAAAAAAGTTTCAGACGGGAGCGTCCACAAACACGTATAACAACGCGAACTTCAGTAATGGCGAGAGGCGGCGGAAAATCGCGGCCTAGCCTACAGAAGGGTCTCGATAATGAAGTGTACCACGTTGTCGACAAGTTTCTTGAGGACCAACCTCAAAGCATTGCCTCATTAAGATGCGGTCAAATCTACGACCGGATACAGAAGTCAAACTCAAGCTTGAAGCGTCGCCCGAAGCCGGCACTTGAAAGCAGCATCGAGCGGGTTCTAGCTGTCATGATTGAAGAGTTCAGCGAGGAAGATGATGATATGGAGCCGCTGGAAGGGGAATTCGGTGATTCTAATCCTCAACCTAAGCCGAGTAAAACTGTCAATGATTTAATTACTGGAACTTGGAAGAACGCCTCGCCAGCCAAGAGTACGCCAGCAACCTCCATAAATGGAGAGAAGAAGTCGAAACGTGGAGACGGGGATCGAAAAGCCCATGACGAGCCACCGAAGAAAAGGCTCAAGAGCTCTCACACGGAGAAAGGTGCAAATATCGACATTAGTCCTCCCACGCACGTAAGTCTTGATGACATTGGCGGTGTTGAAGATATCAAGCGCGAATTGAAGCAGCATCTCGTTTTACCGTTGTTATGTCCGGAGGAGTACGCCGCTCGCAACCTACCGATCCCCAGAGGCATACTGCTGCATGGTCCTCCGGGTTGTGGAAAGACTGTGATCTCTAGGGCATTTGCCGCAAAGCTTGGCGTCCCGTTTATCGAGATATTGGGTCCGTCCGTTGTTTCCGGAATGTCAGGAGAGTCTGAGCGACAAGTCCGTGAGCATTTCGAGAAAGCCAAGGAAGTTGCACCATGTCTCATATTCATCGACGAAATCGATGTTATCGCGCCCAAAAGAGACACTGCCCAGAGTCAAATGGAAAAGCGTATTGTGGCACAGCTGCTGATCTCCATGGACTCGTTAGCGATGGAAGGCAATGACGGAAAGCCCGTGATTGTGCTAGCAGCAACGAATCGTCCTGATGCTATAGACCCAGCATTACGGAGAGGTGGTCGATTCGACTCGGAAATAAACATGGGTGTGCCGAATGAAATCACACGAGGACAAATTCTCCGTGCTCTCACTAGAAATACCAACATCGCAGACGACGTCTCATATGAGATATTGGCGAAAAAGACCTCTGGCTTCGTAGGCGCTGACCTCCGGGACCTTGTCGGTAAAGCTGGCACATGGTCCATGGATCGTTATCGTGAAGCTCTGGAAGCACAGGCTGCAGCTACCGAAACTGACATGGATGTTGATCTTGATACGAAGAAGGCGGTCTCTGAGGTGGATCGAAGTATAACACGACTCATTCGTCGCTGTCGTGACAAAGACGCTACTCGGCCGGCGGGATTTGAGGACACTTCGATCACAATGGAAGCCTTCGATGCTGTCTTCCCAGGCATACAGCCGTCTTCCAAACGTGAAGGCTTCACCACTAGGCCCGATGCCAATTGGGATGACGTCGGGTCACTAGATGATGTACGTGAGGAGCTCAATATGGCGATAGTTGAACCGATCTTGAACGCGCAACGATACAAGAACGTCGGTATCTCCGCTCCTACTGGAGTGCTCCTATGGGGACCCCCGGGCTGCGGAAAGACGCTTCTTGCTAAAGCGGTCGCGAATGCATCAGAAGCAGCCTTCATTAGTGTCAAGGGACCCGAGTTGCTTAACAAGGTAAGTCGCATCTCCCTTATTTTTGAATCTCTGTCAGCTAATGTATCTAGTTTGTTGGTGAGTCAGAAAGGGCAGTCAGGCAGGTTTTCATGCGCGCACGATCGTCCAGACCATGTGTGGTCTTTTTCGATGAGCTGGATGCTCTTGTTCCTCGTCGCAATGACGCACTGTCTGAAGCGTCTGCCAGGGTGGTCAACACCCTCCTGACGGAGCTGGATGGGTTGTCTGAGCGAGAAGGTATCTATGTGATTGGAGCTACCAATCGACCTGACATTATTGACGATGCCATGCTTCGTCCCGGTCGTCTCGAAACCCTGCTATTCGTAGGTCTACCCAAGAAGCAGGATCGTGTTGCAATCCTGAGCGCCCTTATCAAGAAGACACCCATAGACCCGCTTCTAGCACATTTTGCAAGCGACGATCGCTGTAACAATTTCAGCGGTGCCGATCTATCAAGCTTGCTACGAAAGGCCGGACAGTCGACTCTCAAGCGGGGCGCAGATAGAGTCGAGCTTCAAGACTTTGAAAGAGCAGTTGGAAACGTCCGGGCCAGCGTTGGTGATCCAATTCATTATGAGCGACTAAAGAAGAAGTTTGCCACACAGATATAATTCGTAAGAACAAGCTTTCCCATTGCTGTTATGTACCATATTCTATTCCCAACCGTGCTGAGTGCTTTCCTGAGCGTTTCCTACTTGAATGCTCTCCTCAGTACCTTCCTGTGAGTTCTTCTGAATTGTATCTTCAGCAGTCGGCCAGCTCCACCTCTGCAACTGCTCCGATCTGTCCGACGACGCCGAGCACTTTCTCGCATGCGCCCTGCACTGACAGCTCTTCACCTGCACCGTCCAGCTCTCGCCAATCTTCTTTTGTTGCCCCAGCATCTCCTCGAATGATACCGACGTGTTTGTCCGCATGCACTGCGCTTGTAGTAGGGCCCCTTGTTTATGATCAGCAGTTTGCCGCGTAGAAACTACATGTTACCCCAAGCCACACTCACAAATCTTCATTTTGACGTCCGTGCAGATCGGCTTCAGCTTCCCTGATCGACTGGTAGTGGTGGCGTACTGCATGTTGTGCTTTAGATGGTACTCCGTCCAGGCAGTCGGGCACGTCCACCATTTGCAGCGGTAGTCGGAGCCGCATTCATACGAGGCGATGGTTCGGACGCGGCACATTCTTATTTCTTAGGTATCCCTGGATCTGGTCTTAGGGGGGACGGTACTTCAGCAACGGAATCTCGGTTTTCGGTGGTGGTTGCGTATGGCCAGACATGAATGCCGCGTAGCGGTCGTGAAGGATCTGTTATACAGAGTTTTCGATGATCGGGACGATTGAATGATCTGGAGACAGGGCTTGAATCCGTTGCGGGCATCAAGACCTTTTATGTACGTGTGGGTGTGCTCGTTTGGCTAAGCGCCCGTGAGGTTCCGCGATATGCTGGGGAACGAGTATCTCGATGCTTGGCGCGTGTCACGCTAGGGACGCCGTGCCAGATATGTACGTGCTGGAGAACTGCCACGTCAGTATGTGGGTGCATCGTTCAGTGTTCGTGGATGGGATTTTGTGGATTTAACAAGAAAGTGGTGATGGATTCGGTCGGCTGGTGTCTAGATTACTTGAACGGAGCTGATGCCCGAGCGAGGCTGGGCAGTATGAATGGCCAGCAAGATGTTCTTCCGTCGATGCGGTGTGCCATAGTCATGACAATGTTGCAAGTCGTATTGCGAACGAATATGACTGGCGTGCACAGATGACGTGGTCACGCGACCTACTACTTCACTTATTCTATCGTCAGTGTCCGGTCCCAGGCGTCCCGGTGAGCTTGAAGTCCTCAAATTCCGTCATTTTTCGTTAGGCTTGCCGTCGCTGCATCCTTCAATCTTCGTCGAACGACATTCCATGCCTTGGGGACCACCGCATCCGCCCTGCTCTCCATATGAACAAACAATCACAATTCTCTTGGGTAGTTTCCGATCAAAGTAGTAAATTTTCCTCTACTTTTCTTGCAATCTAAGCTCAACTGGACTCCATCACTCCCTTTAATCCTGCATACGCTCTTCTCTGTGTGTCTCCACCACGACCTCTTCGAAAGGTGCAAGGTGCAAGTGTAATGTCAGTGCCTGACGTATCCGCAACAGTCTTTTAAACTACAAAGACAGAAGTAATGGTGTTCAAACTAGCGTTGTCATGACTAGATGAAGCTTGTATAGATTTGTTATCATTGGATGAAGGGTAGTTCACGCATCCTTCTAGCGTATCATATTGTTGAGCTTCACAATGATGTTTTCAACAGCTCCTTCCATTGTTTACTCACACCGGGTGACTTTGTGTCTACGGAGGAATGGTACCCATCATGTGATTCCGTGATACAGATTTTAGCAGCAACTTGCAGTTAGGCTTCTTGCCGGACATTAGCAGCACACAAGGTAGCTTAAAATTGCTAACAAGAACGAGTGTCTTCGACGCTGAGGATACTTGCAGCGTATTTCTAGTATCTCAAAGAGATCATGCGGCTAGCATCAAGATTAACAGCGGGCCTATTATCAAGAGCTCCGAATTCCATTTTACCTCATCCAACATCAATAGGTTCTGCATATATAGCCTATAAGGACAACCTTCAACGAACATCTGACCCTCTACTTTATATCATCTTGCTTCTCCAGTCCGCATACCAAACCCTACTTAGAGCACAGCCAGAACCTATGTCCCCTACAATATGCACTCTCTACATGCTTCTTCTCTTGTTGATACGGACAGTTTTCATATCGCTGTTTTTTCAGAGGACGTCCCCATTTGAGCCCCTTGCAATCCCCACAGACGTTATAAAATTTGATAGAGAATCCGCAGGGGCAGTGCGTCACAACTTTAGCACAACCGTTGGTTTTGCGGTGTGAGATGAGCTTTATAGATGGTTTTTCGATTGAACAAGTACTTGACGTGCCAGTCATGGTTTGGAAGATAATATCTGGATTGATGGTAGGTGGTAAAAATAGTAGTTAGTCAGGAATTGAATGTGGTCCACGTAAAAGAGTGGTGTGTTGCAAGACTACCTGGGTCAAGTAGTCTTTATTTTCTGATCCCTTACTTATTGCGAGACACCAGTGTGTTCATTGTGTCGATACACATTGTGCAGGTTCCTAGTACAATGAAAATCAGTAGGCCTAGGTGTCCTGACTACAAGATCATTCCTCGACGCAGAAAGTGTAGACGTAAGCATATACAATGTAAGAGTTAGACTTGGGGATAGCAGTCTAACAGGTTATAGAAGGGCCAGAACAAGTATATTATTTAGGTATCTACTCTCGTTTTTAGGTTACCCGTCCCTTCCTATAGAGCAGGAGATAGATTAGCCTAGATTTGAAAAGATTGTACTTTTTAGTCTTATAATACATGAGACTTATTAGACTAGAGTTGTCTCTCTATATTTATTATAGTACACGTTCTAACTTAACGTTTTTCCTATCTATACTTATATTGATGTAATTATAATCAGAAATTTCTATATATCTATATAACTAGAGTCTTCTATAATAATAATAGCTAGATATAATTAAACGAAATATCTTATATAATTTCTTTTTTTAATCTTCTTATTCTGTGTAATCTAAAGTCATGTATCATGCTATTATATTTATATGTATTATTCTATTATTATCTTTCTGTGTAGCTTGTCTCTAAAGTGTTACGCAAACGCCTTCTTTACTAGTAACCGACAATCTCTATCGGGATACTTCGGAGTAGTAAATAACGTACTCTTTGTCTCCATGATTTTCGGCCGGCCTAATTCATCTAAGTTCTTTGGCCCATACACTGTGTCTTCTGGTAGCTTTACATCATAGTCTTTAAGAAGGTTAGATAAGATTACCATCATCTCCGACCATGCTAGGCTTTTCCCAATACAGTTGCGATGACCGTAAGAGAATGCAAAAACGTTTCTTTTAAGATCTTCGTTCGCTAAAAAGCGTGTTGGGTCATATATATGCGGGTCCTTCCAAGTCTCGGCATGGTTATGTGCGCCGATCAGGTTGATAGCTACCTCAATGCCTGGTGGAAGATAGAAACCCTGGAGCATGACCCCACTCGTGTGAGATACCCGGGGCATGAATCCCGAGGTGATGGGTGAGTATCTCAAGGTTTCATATACGCATGCCTCGAGAAATGGCAGTTGGGTACGACACTCCGCGAATGTGACCATGTGGTCACGTTTAAACAGGCTTCGTACTTCATCCACGGCACGTGCGTGGTACGCTGGGTATAAAGTCAGTAGATGAATCACCCAGGAAGTAACGAAAGAGGTCGACTCGCTTCCAGCAAGCTGTAATGCGATGCTTTCGGTGCGCACTTCATGGCGCTGCATTTTGATTTTAGAATCTGGGTCTTCTGCGTCTAGAAATGCCTGGAGAAGGTCTATAGGTCTCTCCTTCGCGCCGTTCAGAAGCTTTCTACGTCGAATGTCGATAGACTCGTTGGAATGTCGGATGAAAGCATGAAACTGGGATCTAGACCGACGAAGAAGGCGAGAGAAAGGCCAATGGCCGAGAAGTGGGAGGTTCTTCGTCATGCCAAGGTAAAAGCCTGTTGCCTCGATCCAGCGAATTATGGTATCATCGTCATTTGAAAGAGCGCTAAAGTCGCGCCCAAAGGCGAGGGCACCAATCGTATCGAATGTTGCGTATTGTGTATCATTTCGGTAATTCACAATGATGGGGTTGCCTTCGTTTTGATCGATTAACATGTCCCATTTATCTCGGATGGCTTGGATACTATGCCGGACAATGAGCGGCTCCATCTGATTAAGAAAGCCATGAGTAAGATACGGGCCAAGCTGGCGACGGCGAAGGCTTGCATAGATGGGATCGCGAGCTGTGAAGATGCTTGGGTGACCGAGAATGTCGAGCATTCTGTAAACATCCGTCTTCCGGAAGTCTTGAGATGTCAAGATCTTCTTGATATCTTGCGGGTGACTGATGCTGACTCCATCTGGTCGATGGACGTAAATGTCTCCATATGTTTCGTAGTCATTCTGAACAGACTGAGATCCATTGCTGAAAATACGTTTGACTATAGAATGCTTCGCACTAAGGCGGGACAGGAAAGATCCTGGGATATTGCGCAATGGAGAGAAGAAACATTGATAGATAACTCTATAGGCGATGGCTACAGCGACGATATATGCGACGATGCAGGGAGGTTCGATTGCTTCTGGGAGGGAGAACAAGCCTTTTCGATCTACCATGGCGCTCATTCTGTGATTTCCAGTTTGCAAAAGTGAAATCCTTCAATGGCTGGGTAAGAACTTTTTTATCTCGCCAAATCAATAGTAGCTTAGATATCCCAAGTAGAGTAGGAGCAACCTTGTGTTCTTTATCATGTCGTTGCAAGTAAGGGATGCTTGTAACTTTAGGTACTTGCTAGGAGTAGAGAAACTCGGTGGCGTGAGTGACGAACGATTCGCGGTAAAAGTGTACCTTCATGCTCGTTGGAAACGTTCAGAGGTCCCGCCAATGTCACGGTCGATTAAAAAGGTGTGCTCATCCCTGGACACATTGTCTTCCGACTTCTGTGAGACAAAATGACGCATGACCTTGCATTAGTATTAAGCGCCATGATGGAAAGCTAGTAAGAGCACCATTAAGTATCACTATACTCGGGTAAATTTTGCGACGATACGGAAACGCTAAGAATCTTTCCCCGTCACTTCCCCCCGAGCTTGGATCTTCTAGCGCACAGTTGAAGTATATTACAGTGAGAGATAAAGGGTATGACAATCGAGCTAAGCGACCCAGATGAGACACAGCATCTAAGATAGACGCAGTCTTTGTTGACGGGAGCTACCACACGAGCTCACCAACATTTTCCCAGAACGGATCTACCAACATTCCTTTCATAGCGGTAGGATTACTGCTCAGCAAAACGTTCACTCCGTCTGTTGATGGCATAGGCGGTAGGAATGCGACTATACTGAGACTGCTAGCAAAAAGTGGCGTCAGGCTCACACATGCTGGAGATCTGTAGCTAAAATCAGCATCGTAAAGCTTGAAATTGACCTAACTTGTACACACAAGGAATGTCCTCATGCGACTAGCGGTCAATGCTAAGGGTCGTAGGTAGCTTGTTGGATGCGCAGATATAAGCTCAACGAACTCGGATACTAGCTGAGGGCTGACGCTGGACACTGTAGACTGCACCTGGGCTGCTGCATCTGCTAAGGTAGCTGCATTCGTAGGTCTTCTGAGATCATTGACTTGATCTCTAATCAGTAGCCCAGTAAGACAATTTTCTGTATAATTCTCTTTGACATTCAGCCGGGATCTCAGGTCAAAAGGGACTCGTACTGATGCATGTTCCTCGACTTGAGGTGGGCCCCTAAGTCAAGTTCAGAATCTAGATTGTTGATTTGTTTTGAGCTGGTTCTGTATTGACAGCTTTCTGATAAGAGCAACTAGGATATCATTGTCACTGATATGAGATGTGCCGAAAATAAGGTGAGGCTGAAGCATTTGATGTAACTCGTTGAGCTTTCTCTGCGAAACATGGAACAGGTGTGCTTCGCCTTTGGCGAGCCCAGTGGTTTTACTCAGCATAGCACCCAGTGTCGTATGGGATAGCAACGTTGACCAGTCGATGATTACATTAGGAGTGGAATATATGGCATGGCTCGTGGGATCGATCAATACTTGGCCGGATGTAGTTAGATACGAGCGGACTATGCTTCGATCGAAGGAGTATGTTCTGCGAATGGGTGGTACGGCACTGTGGACCATTCCGTACATTGTGTCGGCCCAGGAATTGACGAATACGAAGAAATTCGCATCATCGAAGGCATAATGGAGAACACTGATGAACAGGACCAGGCCACTGTTCTCCTTGAGTCGAATGACATGAACATTGAGCATGTGGATCTCACTGTCACTAGCAGTAGTGGCAATGGGTCCGACTGTGACCACGCTCGGGGGCCAGCTGCTTTACGCAAAGCCTGCGGTCTTGAGATCTGCAAAGTGAATCGTGAATTAAACAAACTCCAGGAACTCCGGATGGTTGATGTTATCAGGATCTAGTTCGATGAGTATGTTTCCAGTCACCTTATGACGCAAGTGGCCGAGTAGAATTGAAAAGGTCTCGAGGGTATTAGCCAGGGCTTTCTTCAGTTGCTCAGTCGGCATGAAGTCTGTCACACTTGAAGTGTTCTCAAAGACGTATGCGCAGGGGATAGTTGAGAACGAGCCTTGCATGTCCAGCGCCGATAGGGGTCATGCTTGTGGCTTGATAGAGCTGATGTATTTCTTCATGTTGACGTTTACTAGTGTAGTCGAAAGTGTTGAATCGGGAATGCATTTGCGTCAGATATTACGGCGCGTTTTGGGCTTTGAGTCGACGGCTCTCCCGTTATCACCCGATTAGTAGCAGATCCCGAGGACAGCCATGTTGTCCACAACGTAGGTCTCAGGCCAGAAATGTCTCAGCTCCTCATGCCGACAGAGTATGCCCAAGATCCCAGCAGAGCTAAGGACGACCCCGGATGGGGACAGCACTCTATATCAAGGAGTTAGTTCGTAGCGTCGTGAACAACATCATCGATAAGAGTAGTGCGAGGTTGATATTGCAGAAGGACGAAATTTGACGCTGAGGAAACAAGTGGAGTCATGCGCTAAGATGACAAAGGGTAAGAGGTCTGTGCGTTCAATCAGACCCCCCCTCCTACCCTATTTTTCATTAACACCCCCTCCTCTATCTTGGGACGTATCTTACAGTGATCATACGCCTTATGTAACTACAACACGCTGTGTTTCAAATGAGCTCTTTCTGCAGTCTTGAATGTAAACTCGGACGCAGTCATGAAGCTAACCGACATATACATCAGCATTGGATGACACTCCGAAAACAGCACTGGCGACAGTGTCACCCACCTCGAGAGACTCCTAGTCAACATCAAAGTCCTCACACAATCTCCACATCACCATATCGTTTCACATACCGTCCTAGGGCCAAGAGAGTGAAATGAAACTTGTACAATGGATATCGCATGCCTCCTGGCGGGACAAAGACTCCTTCTAGAGTGCCTGGTAGCCAATCACCCATTGGCTGTTGAGCGTCCATCAAAAATTTGATGCCTTTAGCTACAGCCTCTTGGTCGGCGCATCCTGCCGCCAGCAATGCTATTGTAGAATAAGCTGTACACGTGACCTGGCTCCCCAACGGCTCCTGGACGTATCTCTTAACCTTTGTGCTCTCGATAGACTCTCCCCAGCCGCCATCGTCATTTTGATGCTCCAGTAAGAATCTGCAGGCTTGTCTCGTTGCAGCACAATTCTCTTCGGATCTTCCAACGCAAGCAAGACCTTGCAGGGCGAACATAGTCGCGTATGTGAAACACACTCCCCAGCTAGCATACCACCCGCCTTCTGGATATTGTGCCCGTAGCAAGAAAGCGACACCGCGATCTATACACTGTTGTATGTCATGCGGCCGATATGATGGATAAGTCCGACTGAAAGCGGTCAGAGTCATGATGATCGAACTGGTACACTCTGGATATAACGTCTCGGTCATAACGTTGTCGTATATCTCGGTGACGTTGAAAAGCTCCATAAAGCTTGGAGCCCGAATGGGTTCATACGATGAGAATCCACCACCACGGTTTTCCATGGCCATAATGAGGTCTACCGCCTCTTTTAAGCGGCTATCGGAAATGCGTCTGCGTACCACGCCTGATTCCTGGAGTTGCATAACCACCTTCACAGCTTCAGCGGTCGTATCAGATACTGCGTATCCTTGCTCGCGAGTGCTGAAACTCCAGGCTCCTTTTGTTGGTTGCCGATAAACATGGTCTATTGCCATTGGATCCTCGCGTATCTGAGAATTGTCTATGAACTCGAGAGCCTTCTCAAGAACAGCTTTGTTTTCGGGCTCCTTTGAAAGGTCACATTCGAGAACTGCCTGTACAGTCAAGACAGTGTCCCAAAGAGAAGTCCCGTTGGTTCCAGACGCTGACAGTCCTTCGCGGCACATCCACATGGGGTCTATGACGCGCGTCTGCATTCCTCTTACCCAATGGCTGCGAGGCCCATGAGCATGCCATAAAGATAACAGATTGGATGCGAAGCTAACCGGTGCAATGCTGAGATAGCTGGTGTTGTGGACTTCGGCTTCTATCTGAAAAAGCACCTCTTTTAGCGCTCTCCGCCGTATGAACGGGATCTTGTAGTGTTCAATCAGGCCTAAGATTCCAATTGCTGCTGAATGGAGTCGCGTCAAGGGCGCTAGACGATCATGAGAGCTTACATGCGTCCTCTGAGCGACCCAGTCCACGTTTTCATATGGTATCTCATGAATCTCCTGTCTTAGCTGTAGCACGAGCTCATTTTGTGGCATCACCCAGCGATGGCCATACATATATGCCAAACTGACATACATGTTGCGAGTATGAACCCACCAATTACCCGGATTTAAGGGCAAAGCCTGAGGGACTAAGAGGACTTCTGCGACCAGTGGTATCATGCCATCCCATTCATACAGTCCGAGGACACACAACCACCACTTTCCAAAGGCAGGGATTGCTAATGCACCTCCCATAGTCTTTAGACAACTTCGAGCCTTTTCCAAGACAGGGTGAATTGCTGGTAGTCCCAAGATTCGCAGCATGATATAGCTCATAGTTGTTCCGAATACTGTCGAAGGACTTTGGATGAACAATCCCCATCCGCCATCGGCATTGACCATATTCAACAAGTACCGACACATCTCAGCCTTCATAAAGTCTTCCAATGGCAAGCCAATGATATACATGGTGATCACAATTCCACTGGTAACGAAGAGCGGCCCGTCATCATTGCATCCCCAATGGCCATCCGAAGTCTGGAGCCGTTTCAGAAACTCCCAGCCGTGCGCCAGAGCTTGCTTCGGTCGCTTCGATGTTTTCATTTTTGGCATTTCGATGGGGAGACCAAGCCAGTACCGTTCTAGGAAGCTCTGTGGCTGGGTCTCACATTCCTCTTTTGAGCTCAAGTAGTGCCACACATGCCTACCATGCTCTACCTTGAGTCTCCATTGATCAAGGTTTGTTGCGTAGGGTCGTGCCGCAGCGGTATTCTCAAATACAGTACTGCTACAGACCTTCTGTGCGACGCTTGTTTGAACGGGGGTTTTGATCCCAGTCACAAACGTCGAATCATCATGAGCTGTCTTCATCTTTGATCCTTGGAATAGATGTCGAATATTAGTCTCGTATATCGACCAAGCTTGAGACTTCGAGTGTTTCTAGCGACGATTGGATGAAAGCACGAGGGGCTTCGGGTCGTCTAAATCATGAGTTACTCACGGGTCTGATATTTGAGGTTAAAATTTCTAGTATCATACAAATCGGCTCATTTGATGGTTTCGTTAATTACATATGAAACGTACCTGATCTTCCACAACGCTTTTAGATCAGAATGTTAGCTTGGAATCAAGCCCGAACTCGACCGGACCCACAGCGACATGAATACCCTACGTCCGTCAAGGCCAAAGCGTTCCAGTCACTAACGTCTCGTACTACATGGATGGGGGCTAGTTGCGCTTATAGCCTTATCACAACGTCGATTGCTCGGCTGTATGCAAAATGAGGTTGCATGACGCTAATGCAGCACACGGCACAACAGAAAGAGGACCTGAAAGTTACTAATTCTGCATTTCAACGACTAGGATACGAATGTAATACATGCCAATTCACTACCATGTTGATGTCTTCTTGCCGCTACTCACTCATCGTTGACACGATCCTTCCGCTTTTGCAATATCATCCGACAGTCTCTCTCCGGCTTCGCAGGCATTGTCGCTACCCCCAGCTTCGTCGGCATGATTCTCGGTCGTCCTGTCCTAGGATCTTTGTTATGCGGGCCGAAGACACTGTCCTTCGGCAACTTGATATCGTAATCGCGGAAAAGATTCGCTATTGTGACCATCATTACGACCCACGCGAGGTTCCGCCCAATGCAGAATCTCGTACCATAAGCGAAAGAAAGCATGTTGCGCTTCGTCTCGAAGTTGTTCAAAAACCGGGTTGGGTCGAATTTGTCTGGATCCTGCCACGTAGTGGCGTGTACGTGAGCTGCGCATTTGTTGGTTGCTATCTCGGTCCCAGGCGGGATATAGAATCCCTTGATGGTGATACCCTTGGTATCTGAAACTCTTGGAAACGAAGTGCTTGTGGTCGGAATACAGCGGAGGGTCTCATAAATGACACACTCCAGATACGGTAACAGTTCCCTGCATTGCTGGTATGTGATGACGGTCTTCATGTCGGGAAAGCCAGCGCGGACTTCGTCACGGACGCGGTCGAAATGCTCGGGGTAAAGCAACAGAAAGTGTATGATCCACGAAATGACAGAAGAAGTTGACTCACTGCCACCAACAAGCATTGCAATACTTTCAGCCTGAACTTCTTCTGGTGACATATGTGTCTTGCCTGGAACGTCGAGATCTCTTGCATCCAGCAAGGCCTGAAGCAAATCAGCAGGTATGTCGCCTCCATTATGAATCTCTTCTTGGCGAATCGCCACGGACTCCTTGCTGAACTGTACGAGGTCGTCGTACGAGCCCTTCAGCTTCCATACTAGAGCTGAAAATGGCTTTCGTTTGATGAATGGAAAGTAATGAGAAAGTAGCATGTAAGTAAGAGTGTTGTTCACCCATTTGGTGTAGACTAGGTTGTCCTCCTGTAAGGCGTGAAAGTCTCTCCCGAAGGCCAGAGCTCCGGTAATGTCGAACATGGCCAGTTGTGTATCAGAACGATAGTTGATAATAGTATCCTCGCCGCGGACTTCGTTGTTTGTAATCAGGGTGTCCCATCTGGTTCGTAACGCTTTGCTCCCATATTTCAATATCAGATGTTCCATGCCCGCTAGATAGCTAACCGTGAAAAAGGGATGCAACTGGCTTCTTCTCTGATTAGCCTGTGCGGGATCTGTGAACGTGCTGACATTGGGAATCCCCTCATATTCGAACACCCGATACATGTCCGTCTTCCGGAACTCCGTGTTTGACAGGACTACCCGCGCGTCCTTTGGATCGCAGATAGAGACAGTATTCGGTTTTGACAGATACACATCACCGTGCTGTTTGTAATCCGATATTGATGCTGCTTCAGCCCGACCGGTGAGCAAGTGTATCATTATACGGCTGCTTGTCACTCGAGCGAGAAATGGAGCTGGGATATGTCGAAGTGGGGAGCGAAAAAATGCATAATAGAGCGTCCAGACAGTTTGAACTGCGAATAGGATCAAGGTGATGCGTGTGTATCCCAGGCTGACGACATATGACTTTATTTCCAGGAGAACTTCGACTAGAAGATATTGCCGTATCCTACCATCTGAGGGGACCAAGTTTTCAGAAGCAAGTATATGGTCCATTGTAGACATGATCTTCTAAGGTGTCAGTATGAAGAGTAAGCTCGAACTGAACAGTGGAGTTTGTAAAGCAAATACAGTATGAAAGGAAGAATTTCTAGGTATACGACCATGGGGAACTCGGTAAGCAAACTGCAAGTCGCGATATGGCTCCTGAGATCAAATGCAACTATACCAATGGTAGTTTGGACTCTTGGACAAACAAATTATGGTCAGACGACTCCGATTCCTCTCCAGGGCCGCTTCCATGTTGTCACCCAAGCTTTAAAGTATGGATTAGTGCTGGCCCGTGTGCGAGAAAACTAAACAACGCATAGACTAATTCCAGTTTAGGGGGTAGAATGCCGACCTGTGTTTCGAGGTCCAGATAATATCCATACATAGACTTCACACTTGATGCGATGTCATATGCTGACACTTTTAGGCGCGCAATTGGCCGAACACTGCATTAGGCCTTCAAGGTTGCCTCATATTCGGACATGGGTTACAGCTCAACGTGTAAAACACCAATCGATGCAAATCAACATGTACCTAACTGATGCGGTATAGCGGATGGATAATAGTGTTGGTCGCTAGCCCATAACAGCGGTAAAGGTTGTATCGCTTCGTATTTCTTTTGTGGGAGCTGACCTTAGCATGCTAAAAGTGAACTTTTGCTTGACATCCGGCGTCGAAATCATTTACTCTTACATCAGAAGCCACAGCTCGATCGTATCACGTTATGCCAGAGTCAATATCTCCAGCATTTACCAGGCGAATAGCCATAGTCACTGGGGCAGCCCGTGGAGTCGGCTTCGCAATCAGCAAAGCTCTCGCATTGAAAGGCTACCTAGTCGTCATCAGCGATATCGATAGCATTGAAGGTACTCACGCGACAAAGAGCCTCAATGAAACAATGGGCGCCGGTACTGCTGTATTCATTCATTGTGACCTGGCTCGACTTTCTTCCATCGATAAGCTCCTTGAGTCGACTGTCCAGCAACTTGGGAGCTACAGTCTGCTTGTCAATAACGCTGGCTATCTACGAGCGCCTTTCCTCGCACTGTCGGCAGAGCATATGGAGCAGAGCATATCGGTGAATTTAACTGCACCACTATACGCGTTGCAGCGTGCCGTTATGTACTGGAACGCGCATCCTCATATCGAGGCTCCTGCCGTCGTTACAGTGACATCGTCCTCATCATTCAAGACCTATGCGTCCATTCTCCCATACGGCGCTGCAAAAGCTGGCGCTGCACAGTTTACATTTGCCAGTAGGGACTTTGGGCCAAGGATCAGAGTCACAGCTGTGGCCCCGACGGCCATCGCGACCGGATTTGAGCTGGGAAATATGAGGATTGCTACGGAGCAAGAAGGTCCTGGGTACACACCGGAAGATGCGATGAGAGCCATGGGATTGGAACGATTGAGTCCAGAGGACGTGGCCAATGAAGTCGTGAGATGTGCAGAGGATAAGGATATTTGGGGAATTGTTGTGCATCTAGATAAGGCGAAAGGTGCGAAGATTTTCGGGGGGTATGAGGATTTCATGGGCGTGTGAATATGTTATTGTAGAGCACTGATAGAATTACGAGACGTCTTAAGTATCTTTTTTCATATACACTGGCGCTTTCTTATAAGTATACGGCAGTCTCTCTCCGGATACTTAGGAGCAAAAACAATATGACACTTTGACGGCATTAACGCAGGCTCCCCATTATCTCTCCTCCCGTGCGGGCGAAAAGCTTCACTACCGTTCCCAATTCCTTCCATATCAAATTCGTTTAGTAGGTTAGCAAGGATTGGCAATATTTCCATCCATGCAAGATTCCTCCCCAAGCAGTTCCTTACTCCATATGAAAATGCAAAGACATATCTCTTCTTATCTGTGTCTTCTAGAAATCGTTCTGGTCGAAACTTGTTGGGTTCAGCCCAAACATCAGTTCGATTGTTTAAAGCAATCAGATTAAAGGCAATATGCGTTCCCGCCGGAACGAGGTACCCTTGCAATACGACGTCTGTAGACGCAAACTGAGGCATAAACCCTGATGTTATCGGAGTGTAGCGAAACATCTCATATATGAAGGCCTCGAGAAATTCAAGAACTCGACATTCAGTGTAACTGATTAAATGGCCCTTGGCGAATCGCGAGCGTACTTCTGTCTCAGCACGCGCTCGATAGTGAGGGTATAGTGTGAACAGATGTAGTGCCCATGTCAGTGCCGCAGCGGTAGTCTCGCTTCCGGCGAGCTGCATGCCGAGGCTCTCAGCTTGGACTTCTTTGGCGGTCATAACGATTTTCGACTCCGGGTCTTGCGCTTTGATGAATGCCTGCAGCATGTCTTCTGGGACCTGTAATGCTTCGGCTTGATGCTTCTCAGGCGAGACTTGTTTATCGAGGAGTTGCTTCCGCCGTTTGACACTCTCTGCGGAGTATGCAAGAAAGTCCGCGTAGGCTGTCAGCGACGGACGAAGAAGGATAGAAAGGGGAAATTTAAGTAGCAGTGGAAAATTCATCCGTAGACCGACATATACTGCAGTTGATGAAATCCACCCAATGATGCGTGAGTCAGCAGACTCTAGGCTATCATCTCCTGTAGATCTTCCAAACGCCAGTGTAGCCATGATCGAGAAAGTCGCGAGTTGAGTATCGTTACGGTAGTTCACAACCGCGGTATCCCTTCCATCTAGGAGACTGTGCCACTTCGATCCAATGGCTTTGGCGCCTTTTTGAAGAATAATTGACTCCATCCGGAGTAGGTAGCTACTAGTGAAATATGGGGCAAGTTGACGACGACGACGACTTGCCATTGCTGGGTCACTGAAAGTAACGATGTTTGCTAGAGCCGGGTCGTGGACACCGTGATACATATCGATTTTGCGGAAAATAGACGAGCCTAGTACTGTGCGCACATCTTGCGGGTTGCATATTGTGATCGTATTAGGCTTGGAAATATATATATCTCCATAGGTGTTAAAGTCGTGAAGAGCGGCATCGATCACTCGGGATGGAAGTCGCTGATATATTGCTCGAAGCGGTGTGAGTCGTGCTAGGAGTGGGCCTGGGATGTTCCGCAGACTTGAGAACAGCGTCACGTATAAAACGTAGTAGCTAGACAACATGCAGACCCCAAGACCGAACGCCACCAAGGAGTCGGTCTGGTAGATTTTCAGAAATACAGTCTGGAGCATGTCTCAGGGGTCGGCCGCTGATTCGTGATAATGTGGACGAGTGCAAAGTATTCGGAAAGAATGTCACTCCATCGAATGGAAGGACCATCAGGTCACCGATGTACTGATATGCAATGACATTTGATTAGATAAGATAGAAATTATACGAGGTCCGACCCGCGGATCGTCATGCCAGAACAGTGCGATGGGATGATAACGCGACCTCGGAAGACTGCTACGGATAAGTGCTCAAGTGGGGCCATCCATCCCGCATCCGCTGAATCCGCCCTAACCTAGGGAGGGGATGGGCCGCAATGCCAAGCGGCATTAGTGTACAATCTATGGATACACGCACCTCCATGGGTGTTGGTCGCGCGCTAACAAAGACGCAACACGGGGTATTAGGCAAACAATGGTATCCGTTCGACCGTGTTGGCGAAGGACCACGGCTGACTCAAAGATATGACTCAGATCAAGTGGTCGCAGACAATTCCCAACATTAGGCGTGAACAAAATTATGTCTATCCATTAGCTGACTCCGGCTTGATCCCACCATCGACACATCATTGCATCACCTGTGGTGTCCATTATTAGCTATTCTTCAGGATTACTATGTGGCAATACACTCTATCCGGTTTTGTTATCTTCTTCATATTCACAATCTACCGGTTGATTTACGCTTTGTACTTTTCCCCTCTACGCACCATCCCCGGCCCTCTAATCGCCCGAGTCACCTCAAAGCGCGGCAAGATTGATCAGTTTTCTGGCAACGTATCCGTACGAGCTATACTCGATGAGCAGAAATATGGGGAGGTGTACGTTTACAAACCCAATGCTGTCTGCATCAACCATCCGGAAGACATCAAATCTGTGCTCGGTTCTCAAGATTTTTTGAAGACCGGCTTCTTCGACATCTTTAACGACGGTTGTGTTCGAAATGTTGTCTCGATGCGTGATCCTATCCTCTCGAGTCAGCGGAGACGACAGATTGGACCTTATTTCAACTTCTGGCAGCTGGCGAAGATGGAAGATCTCATTCTACGACACGGGTACAAAGCGCTAAAGACCAAATGGGACGGCCTGATGGAGATGAATGCGTCTGGACAGACTGAAGTCAACTATCGTATTGACACCCAGCTTGTTACTTTCGATATCATGTCTGCCGTTGCATTCGGACGAGATTTCGGATCCATTCGAAAAGGCAGCTCCTCTGTTCTGAAGTGGGCCGGTGTCATTATGTCTCTACTCGACTCTTCCTTTGTTCTGGCATTGCTCTCTTTATTGCCATTCTCACTCGTTATGAGGCCTTGGAAAACAATGTACCACGAACTCGCAGTCTACAGTGATGAGTGTATACAAGACCGCAAATCACTGCTTGTTATCAAGGATAACAAGAAGCCCATGGATATGCTTCAAGCTTTTATTGACGCCGAAGATCCTGAGTCCCGAGCAAAGATGACACCACTTGAGGTTCAAGCCGAAAGTATCATGATGATGCTCGCAGGCTCGGAGACAACAAGCAGCGCAATAATGTGGACGTTCCATCTGCTACTGCTTCACCCTTTTATATTAGCCACTGCAGTGCGCGAGATCCGCACCACATTTCCTAGTGCTCGACCATACACCATTACCTTCAAAGATGTGCAGATAAAGCTTCCATACACCGAGGCTTGTATCTATGAGGCATTGCGTCACTCACCTACTACTGCTGGGCTGACGCCTCGGATATCGTATACACGATCCATAACATTGCATAGTGGGCATATCATACCACCAAATACTGAGATATATGTGAATTTACGGTCGCCTAACATGCATGAGACTTTATGGTCGGAACCTCAAAGGTTTAATCCAGATCGATTTCTCGAAACAGACTCAAAGAAGAGTTTATTTACGTTCTCGTACGGACCACGGAATTGTATCGGGAAGAACTTGGCATGGGTCGAGATGCTGACGATCATTGCGAATGTATTGAAAGATTATGACATCTTCCTGCCGGATGGTAATATGTTTGGACCACACAATGTAGACGAAAATGGATTTCCGAGGCTTCTACCGGCCAAATGCTTCATTGCGAGTTTCCCGTCTAACCCAGAGAGAGATTGCAAGATGATTGTACGAAAACATTGCGAGTGAGGACGGTCTCGAAGAAATAGTGCTGTTATTGGTCGAAGGAACGTAGTAGTCTATATCTCAATACACTAATTCGATACATTCACTGAAGTCACTATTCCCTAAAAGCTGCTGCATTACCCACGGACGTAAAGTCAAAAACACATCAATATCGCCGTTTGCTTCTGGTCGGCTCGGCATGATAACGGCGACTGTGTTGCTATACGCCATTGGTGCTATAAATTCTGGCCTACCATTCCCGAAGTCTGTATCGTAATAGCCAAGGCGTGTTTGGTTGCTGAAAGCTTGACAAACCATTGATGCGTACAAAACGTTTGCCCGGTGACCAAGAAGCGTGATTACACGCAATGCTCGTTTCAAAAAGGTCTCTATGCTCGCCTGTGACACCTCTGTCACAGTATTCCGAGAGATGAGTGCCACCTCTGCGATAGGTTGTACCGCTTTAGCGGAGATCGGGAGGCGGAGAAGAGACGTTGGCGCAGTGACGTATAATCCAATCGCACAACTCCCAGAGTATCTCTCTGGGACCTTTAGGCGGTGTCGAAAGTCGCAAGGCACGATTGCTGACAAGGACTCGGGCGGTGAAGACTTAACACTAGGGGGGTAAGAGCTCTGGAAGAAAGCCATTGTGAACAGGGAGACAATCACGTCATTGGAAGACACCTTCGTGCCGAGCGATAAAGTAGCGGCTTCATGCTGTACACCCTCAATGAAGGATCGTTTGACTCGGAAGAGATGGCTCTCTAACACGGCAGCCGAGTCCTGTTTCTTCGAAAATAGAACGAAAACTTCGAGTAAGCAGCGAAGCAAGAGTGACAGCCCTGCTACCATGTATGTCATAAGGTTCCATGGTTCTCTGGCAGGCGGTTGTAGGTCGGCTCGAAGCCTCTCGTACATGAAGCGTCGACTTAGCAACGGTAGGTGGTAGCGTCGCGGGTCATGCGATGGAAGCCGTTTTGAACACTCATTTGCCCAGTCCTGATAAAACTGGTCACAGCCTTTTGCGTCAAATACGCAATGTGCAATGCGAATTCTAATGACAACGCCACTGTTTTCCGCCAGGCGTACAATGAGGACTTCTAAAAGCTTCGAGTACGATGCGATGGTGGTTCCTGATGAGTTGACACGAGGATCCTGGACATTGATGCCATTGGGCCAGGAATCACGATGGAATGAGGCTTCGCGGATCTCACAGAACTTGGTGGAGCTACCAGTTTCCTCAAATGATGGCAAGTTCAGGTCAGATGGGTCAACAATGATGCTTATTGATGTCCCACTGCGCATGGCTCGCCCAACAAGAATTGGAAATCTCCAAAGTGAGGCGTAGAGAGAAGCCTCCAGCCGCAGTCTAGGCATGAAGTCTATGTTTGATGCATCATTATTTGCATAGAAAAAGACATTGGAAATGTAGAGGTGACTTGGAATGATATCCAGAGGTGAAAGCTCATACTTTGCTGGCTCGAGGTAGTTCAAAGTGGAATCCATCCTTGCTTTCGAGTTAAAGAAGCCCAAGCCGTGTGTTTTCCGTACTCAAACTTCCAGTGTCTGGATATAGAAGTACGCAGAGGGATTCATCGGCACCGAACTTAACTTCTGAGTTATGATCATTATTAGTCAATGAAACGGGCTTTGGTAATGAAAAACACTATATACCATCTAGTCTGTGTGTGACAGACAGCCTGCTTCATGAAAAGGACCGACCTTATAGAACAAGTGGTGTCAGCAGCGAGGCTCGCGCGGACTCTACTAGAGACGCGTGTGAATACCAGCGCTAATGCAAGGGTCTCGTATGGATTCGATATAGCCCAGGTGTCTAGCCCTTAGGGCCTCAGGCGGTTCCCCTGCAGTGTAAAGGTCACAGCGTATCACACTCCTGGGTGCGATCGCGTTTACTATACAGCATCGGTCTGCAGCCAGGAGCAAAGCCGTCATTCGGCTGATACGGCTGGAGTATGTTATACAACAAGCATGCGTCTAATATGCAGTCACATCAATTCTTAACAAGGAGCGAGATCCCGAATTCGAAGGACATACCACTTTCACCCAGCAAGGCAGTCGGACCGATGTCTATTCTCCACCAGACGAAAGACTACGCACACCGACGTTGATAAAGAGGTCGACGTTCTTATCATCGGGAGTGGGGCAACAGGCCTTACGGCAGCGTTACGATGTAATAATGAGCGTGGACTAGATACAATGGTCGCATAAAAAATGTCCAAGATTGGAGGGACAACTACATACCCTGGTGGTGAGCTTTGGGTCCCAAACAACCATCCTCGCCAAGCTGCCAGAGTCGTTAATTCTTACGAAAATGCGTTTCAGTATCTGGAAGCCATCATCGATGATGTTGGACCTACATCCTCTTGTACAAGGAAGGAGGCATTCTTAAAGGCAGGACCTACTATGGTTGGAAGCCATCGGGTTCAAATGAAACCTTTCACTTGGCAGTTCAGACTCTTATCCAGACAAGCCAGGAGCCCTTGTCATTGAGCGAGCTATTGAGCCAAAGATATTCGACGAGAAGAAACTGGGTGTCTGGAGGAAACGCCCGAATAGGCCCCCTGGAAGAGCAAGACCGCCTCTCTATACAAGTGAAGGCAGCAAGGCACTTCTCTCCGTGGCAACATGGGGTGGTAATTTCCAACTACTTCGCATAATAGCAAGATGGATCGGGCGAAAGTTGCTCGGTCAGAACCAGTCACTATGGGCTTGAGTCTAATCGCACAGCTGCTAGTCATTAGTATCCGGCGTGTCATTAGTCTAAGAACAGGAATGGCGTTGGTTAGACTTCTCAGGAATTCTAACACCAACACCTCAGACGGTGCAGTGCTAGAGCAGTCTGGTAGAGAGCTGATTATACGCACAAGGAAGAGTGTAATACTTGCTGTAGGTGGCTTTGCGTACAACAAAGACATGCGTGCCACATACCAGCCGTTTTTCCAAGCGTCGAATGAACGTCCGTCCCTAAGAGCGATACAGGTGACGCTATAAGAGCGGGAATGAACATTGGCGGGGCACTCGCACTTATGGATGAAGCTTGGTGGGACCAACAATGATCGATCCAGCCAGCGGCCTACGGGTTTTTCATCTTGTTTGGAAGAGCCAGGCCGCATTTAATCATCGTCGACTCGAGCGTCGAGCGTTTCATGAACGAAGCACAAAGCTATATTTACGCTGGTCACGAGTGATACAGACGGCATAGAGAATGTGGCAACAAGGTGAAAGCTATCCCTGTTTGGATAATCGTCGACTCGCAATTCATAAGAGAAGTACCCCTTAGGACGATTGATGGCAGGTTCGTCCTTAAAGAGGGCTATCGACACGGGTTTTCTTTTTGAAGGGAGGACTATCTTAGAACTAGCACAAATTGTTGGTGTGAACGTCCCAGGACTCAATGCGACCATTCTACGGTTCAACCAGATGGCGCGACATGGGAAAGACCTAGACCATAATCGAGGCGGTAATGCTTATGACCGACAGTTTGGAGATCCGCTCTGCAAGCCAATTCCCAACCTGGGCACGATCGAGAGTGCACCATTTTTTGCGCTCAAGATCTTTCCTGGTGATCTAGGCACGAAAGGCGGTCTGTTAACGAACGGACATGGCCAAGTTCTTAACGAAAATGGCGACAAGATCTAAGGACTTTACGCTGCGGGCAATTCCTCTTCTTCTGTCATTGGTAGGACTTATGCGGGCGTAGCCTCAACTCTCGCACTGGCTATGACATTTGCTTTCCTGGCAGCCGAGCACATGTCTGGCGCTAATCAGGCTTAAGATGTAGAAAGCAGAAGTATGCTGTAGTTCTAGCCATGGAGAGTCTAACGCGACTATTGCCCATGTTGTAAGGCCGTGTAGGTTTGCATGCTCTTTTATATAGTAGATATATATGAGATTGATAAATGTTAATTTTTCTAGTTCATTATCTATGAGTTTACTATCTATAAGAAGTATTTATAAAGTCTCTTTAAGGAGATAGAGAAGGATTTCGAGATACTATGGAAGTTTCTATAAGATGATTTATATAAAAAAATACGTTAGGACTTAGAGATACAAACGTTCTCTCTCTACTCTCTCTTTTCTTGAAAATTCAATTTTTTTATCATAGACTGTAGTAATCAGTTCAGAGCTCAAGAAGTACATCATGATATATAGATTCAATATGAGGTAGAGATATTTCATAAACCTCTATAACGGGTGAGCAATCGTGTGTGAAAACAGAAAGACGCCAAGAGAGTTAGGTTCCACCTACAGGCTGTTCTATCTTCTATATTGTTGAAAATCCTTCTCTATCTTCTTAAAGAAACTTTATAAATACTACTAACGGATAATAAACTTATAGATAATCAACTTAGAGATAATCAACTCATAGATAATAAGCTCATAGATAATCGACTCGTAGATAATCAACTCAAAGACAATCAACTCATAGATAATCAACTTATAAATAATGAAATCATAGAAGGATTAATAATAATCTATTCCATATATATCTACTTCTATATATCCTTATATGTAAGTATAGAGAGCTGCAGATAGAAATTTGGGGAGGGATTTACAGCGTCGGTAGTATATAGCGGCTAAAGACGAAGGCGCACGTAAGTCGGTTTTACATACGAAGTGCTAACTTAAATAAGTAACGATACCATGCAAGAGAGATAAGTACAAAATGAACATGGCGTTCCATAACAACACACCCAAATTCGTACTGGTAACAAAGGAGATGACATCTAGTAAGACAATTTGTGGACCACATACTAGCAGGACACATTGGACACGACCAAATAGGCACTTGTAAGCTGTGCCATACCCCTCTAGCTATTTACAGGTTTTGCCTTGAACTAACTAACTTGACTCAGCTAGCCTCTGCTAACTGATCTATGATGACTGAAGCGCCGGAGCCTTCGGCTATGCAACATGCAAATCACAGTTTCACATCGCATTGTGGTCACTGCAGTACCATACAGCTTCTGAGTGCTACATCATCCCTGTGAAATGGATCTCTACTAACTTCATACCGAATCACTGCTCGATGAAATGATATAAAGTCACGGATCCAACTCGCCTGCACGGTGGTGGGTCCATTGACATCCGCCCGTACTTAGCGAAGGCAGCTTCCGTCTGCCCAAGCAGCAAGCTTTGGGCATAAGTAGTGCGCGTTCGACAGATATCATGCCAGGTGAGCACTTAAGTAAACCACTCATGATAAGAAGACACTAAAATATCTCTACCATAGGGAACTTCTGCCATATCATGGGGGTAAGACCTATACAAGCATTTCAACGCGGAGCCGCCCGCCGGAACGGGCCGGGGGGGGGGGGGGGGCAGTTGGTAATCTTCCGGGTCCCTTGCCACTTACTATTAGCCTTACAAGTAGATACCTGGTTCGTGCGTCAATTAGACCATAGGCTAGCGTCTTTTCGCATCTAACTTTTCCTTGAATGGGAAGTGCATACTGCGCATAGATACTGGCTGGATAGATACGTTTCCTTTACACCAGAGTCTTGTACATCCTTTAAATACGTACGTGATCAGAATGCTATTGTATCTAGAACACCTTCCACAGCCGATCATCTTTAAAGAACTATTGTGCCTTAGACAGTCAGACTTCGGGCTACTCTTGTTGAGCTGTACAAGTACGTGGTTAATATTGGACCTCTACGTGAATAGCATCCAACAGCATGAGCCTTTTAGAGACTCATCAGAAGTACTTCAGAGCTTCGAAAGAACACGACGAAGCAGTCAAAAACATAGCCGATTGCATCCGCCAGTTTTACGAACAAGAAACTCCATTTCGTATCTATCATGGGGTAACAAACAGTACGCGCAACTCAACACGGCGAGCGGACCAAGTCATTGATATTAGCTGCCTCAATAATGTCCTCGAAGTCTGCCCGGAGACCCGAGAGGTACTCGTCGAGCCCAACGTCTCTATGGATTATCTTTTAAGAGAAACTCTGAAGCATGGTCTGCTCCCCGCAGTTGTCCCCGAATTCCCTGGGATCACTGTCGGTGGAGCATTCTCGGGAACTGCTGGGGAGAGCAGCTCGTTCCGACACGGCCTTTTCCAGGATACAGTGGAATGGATCGAGATTATTCTTGGCAATGGCAGCAAGCTGTATGCAGGACGCAACTTCAATTCGGATCTCTACCGCGGGGCCCGTTCGTCGTTCGGAACGCTAGGTGTTCTGACACAGCTCTGTGTGAAATTGATACCAGCCAAAACGCATGTGCTGCTCGAGTATCACAAAGTCAAAAGCTTCAAAGACGCGACTAATGTGATTGACTTCCATGAGGACCAACCAGACACTGATTACCTAGACGGTATTATGTTTGCGGACAATGCTGGCGTTATATGTGTTGGGAAACTCGAAGACATGCCACTAAACAATTGTCGATGGCCCGAGAGACGTTTTACGGGCCCCTGGGATCCATGGTTCTACATGAACGCGAAGACCGTTATCGAGTCTAGAAGTAAAGAAGAACGCAAAGAGTACATTCCCATTAAGGATTATCTCTTCCGTTACGATCGAGCCGCCTTCTGGATGAGTAAATACACATTCAACTACTTCTTCGTGCCCAACATCAGTTTCACCCGCTGGCTGTTCAACACGTACACCAAGACGCAAACCATGTATCACGCTCTCCACGCCAGTGGTTTGTCTAATAAATACATCATCCAGGACATCATGATACCTTACTCTGCTGCCAACGAGTTTTTTAGCTATTTGGGTACGAATTTCGAACACTATCCCGTATGGCTATGTCCATTAGGCCACCGTAATGGGGAGAAAGCCAGAAGCGATAGCGTGACCCAGGAATGTATTTCCAATGCCTCTGATACAGCGCAAAAATCGAGCTTCAGCCCTTCTGAGGTTTGCAATGACAAGATGCTTAACTTCGGCGTCTGGGGCCCTGCCCAAAGTGGCAATTTTGCAGACTTTGTCGCTTGGAACCGGGCCTTGGAGGCCAAAGTAGAAGAGCTCCAAGGCCGAAAGTGGCTGTATGGGCATACGTTCTATACCGAGAAGGAGTTCTGGAGTATTTATGATCGCAAGCAACTTGACATGCTGCGAGCGAAGTATCACGCCTCCTACTTACCAACTCTTTACGACAAGGTCAAGGGGCATGGCACCGTTACATCGACGTGGTTCTCGCAGCTATGGAATATTCGACCATTGCCAGGGCTATACGGCTGGTGACAATGCATTGGAGCTGGAGATTATCTGCTACCTGGTAGTCAACGTAGAATTAATGTCCCAGCGTAAGATATGGTGCACATCTAAAGTAGACGTCCTCTCTTAACGGTTTCACGGGCTATAAGAATGAAATTGATCGTGTCGAAGCGTAGTTCATCCTTATCTTATTATTATGTGAATGCTCTCCAAGGATGTGTTTGCTTACGTTCACGCTACCTTTAATAAAAACACTCCGATTACTAACGCCCAATCAGTTCTTAGAAGATCTGTCTAGAAGTTAAGAATAACATTCTGTCTGGCTACATTGTTTGTCTTATTTTTCTTGTCTTGGAATATATGCATATAATGCGTCTTCACCATGTGGGATTTGGTCTTGACCTTACTTCAATGAGCTTGATACTTCGTCTCGCGATATCAAAGGAAAATGACGTCCATTGACCTAGCTGTCAGCATTCTCTCCTTTATCAATACTATAGATTACGGGTGGTAGCTTCGTGCCGTTCAAATGCAATAATGATGCCAGACCCTACCAAACCATTAAGCCTCTCCGACTAAGAGCATGCTTATATCCGCTACACCTGTCATTTTCCAGTCCATGCTTTATTCCTAAGTGTCTAGAAAACATATACTCTCCGTTAATGACATAGCTGGTACATAAGTTGACCTTTTTGACCTTTTAAATGATTCCGTCGGCTCTTGTTATAACAGCTCGCTATATTTTGAAAGTGGCTGGGCCAGTATTGCGTGTCTTTCCTGGCGATAGTACTACTTATATGAGGCGTACCATGCATATGCCTAACATCATCTATCATACCGCCCTACTTGATATTGCACCCCTCCCTTATAATGATATATTCGCTGTTGCCATTACTAAGACCAGCTCCGGAATCCTGCGCGGTAGGACGCGGTCAAGCAGCTGATAATATCCACCAAGAAGCGTGGCTACGACTATGTAAGGTGGCTGCCAGACATCTCAAGCGATACGCGCTTTCGCACTTCGGCATGCTAGTACCGCGTGTCCTAGGATCAGATTCCGTTCAATATTCTAGTCACTATGGATTCACAGACTAGCCATAAGGAGTCGTGCAGATGCTTTGAACGGCACCCCATGTATCTTGAACGCGGCCAAAACATGCTCCTCCAGAAGATATTTTATCTCTTGTACTCGAGTTCTACTGCACGATATCTACATCTTAAAACTCTGCAAAATTCCTTCAAGAACAGATATCGTGTACGGTTGCTATGCTCCGCATCTCACCACTTTGATGAAGTGCGGAGGGATGAATTTGGCATGATTGTCCTCTGCAGTAACGGCTTGCACTATGTATACGGATATGCGCAACTTGGAAGTTGTAGCATCAATAGAGCTGTGAGCGCTGGGCCTATATCTATACAGACTCACTGTCATCGAGGCTGCGATGGAAGACAGTTGTAAGATGGTTATGAATATAAATATCCCGCGGCAGCATCGCGTGACCTTGATAACGAATTTATATATAGGAAGAACCTCTAAAAGAAGAACCATCATAGGGCATAGTCGACCCGAATAGATAGTACTATGTAGTCACTAACAAAAAGGATGGCCATAGGCACAGGACATGACGCTTGCCTTGCGCCATTCGCCTTAAACTAATATGTTCAGTCATAGAGATAGATCATTGACGAGACAACAGTACTTACAGATAAAATTGGACCTGGGGTTGTTTTTCAACCATAGTCTTGGGAAACGTGGAGGGGCGAGGTGGCTGCCCAAGAAAGATCATTGCTCTATGAACAAGTTTTCAAGGTTTCTATACACCATCTGGTCACACTAGGTAAATCAAGTATAGAATCGAGAGAGCTCGAGATGACGAATACGCGTCATGCGCTTTGCTGGTCGAGAGTGCCGCCAGTGCCTTCGAAATTACCATCAAAGGCAACAACACCGCGACATATCGAGGAACTTCACAACAACTTATACCCCTGAGAACGTGTAACTATCATTCAGCCACCGATAAAACCACTAATCTAGTTGGTTTTAGACGCAGACGAACTCCGTTAGTCTCTCGTTGCCGGCTCTGACACACAATGAACCAAGGTATGGGCAATCACAACCATTATCCTGTATTACTCTAACAACACTAAAGCCAGTAGAGAGAATCAATGCTGTGTTCAGCGCCTGCTGTGTTTGCGAGGCTGTTGCTGAAGCTAATACATGATTCGTCGCTGGAAATCGGCCAGAGTCCGCACTCGAGTTCTTACCAAGCAGATGCTATAGGGTCCGCATACTCCGCGCCTGGATCCTAGTCTCACAAGACATAGACTTCTCCAGTACCATATCAGAGGCCCAAAGCTCTAGAATACATATGAGTCTTTGTAACAAAGGTATAGCCATGGCGTGCGAACCCTGCTGGACAGAGTAGTTGAAATTCTAATGGGGGAGTCTAGCCTAAATCACTCCTTTGATGGGCCTGGCTTCCTAGCCTTCGGTCTTCATGTCTATCTTTATTGTATAGCTGAAGAATAGACATATCTTGGTTTTCTACACTTCCTCTTGATCGGAGTCACGACAATGTTCTGAGTAGTGTTAGTGCTATCATCCTGTGAATGAATAAAAGAGCATGACAACGTTCTAATGATCTTCAGACGGGGAGATGATCTTGTGAACGTCGACCTCTCATAAAATCATGGAAGCAGATGATGCATTGATTGACTATGCCAATTGTCCCTCACACGTGTTTGAATTTCGAATACAGCCACAAGACCGTGGCTACGCTACCTGTTGCCAGAAGCATGTTCAAGCCGACAAGGATATTTCTTGCACGGCCAAAGCTCTTCATTACGTTTTGGAACTCCTTCGTATCATTGACCCGTGGAAATGGAATCTTCTCCCCTTTTTCATTCAACGGCAACGGCTTGCCTAGAAACTTGCATAGCGGCTCCCAACCCTCTTTCACATTCATCTCCAGAAAGCGCTCCGGGGTGTCCTTCACAATATCATATACAGCCTCCTTATGCTCTCGATATGATGCCGCGCCGCGCTCCGGATTGAAGTCAAGAAACTTGCGCATATCGCCATGCAGGGCAATCTTCTCATTCAGCGTCTGAGTTGGTAGATCTGGTAAGAAAAACTGGTAAATTCGCGCCCATAGCGATGTGCCTGGTAGCATCATTCTTGTCAACGGTACTAATGTGTTCTGCACACTCGCGTACCATTGTTCCGGACTATCGCGCGTTGTGAGGATGATCTTGGCGTCGGGATATGCGGCGGCAAGTTCAGGCATGAAGAATATGGTGGGCGTATCTGTCGTCGCCATGCAATGACCTAGCAATTGGTCCCAGTCGGCACGTGTGTAGGGTTTACCTGTAGCCTCGTATTTGGCAGCTAGCGCTTCACACCACATGGCGGCTTCGGAGGTGTTTTGATCGCGCATGATGTTCCGCACTGGAAGATGTCAGTTCGGATCATTGATAGAGTGAGTAGTGGTAAATAGCATACTATGATATGTGTCTTTGTAACCCAAGATCTCCAAGGCTTCGCGCAGGCTCGAGGTGCCCGTTCTGCTTGCGCCGAAGCCAAGCACCTGCAATGGCACTTGACGAGTGCATTCTCGTCTGTTCTCTCCTCTTGATGGTGCAATTGCTTTGAGAATGATACTCGCCATGTCGGATGTTGATAAGCAGTGTATGAGAAGGTGAGAAGGTGAGAAAGTACAGTTCTGAGGACGGCGACATCTTGACCGAACGGATGGGGCTGGGAGCTCAGCGCATTTAATTCGGGCCGATCAATGGAAGTAGTCGCACGGCCAACATACGGGGTTGCAGATCACCATTACGGCGAGACTCGAGTGATGGCGCCGGGCTTATTGTTGTTATCAGTGGAAAAGGGCGAGTTGTTGGGTTAGAATGAAAGCCACGATTTTCAGCCGAGGTCGTGATGACGCAGATGGAGACCGAGGGCTGTAGCAAAAGCGCGCCGACATGAGCAATGTGTACCTAGTAGCTGAAGAATTATGGTAATGGAAATTATACAGTAGAGTTGAGATGGTTGTTAGTCAATAAGTTGTCTCTTTAATTAAACCTGGTATGAATCATGCGAGGTCATGCTGCAGGCAGACACTAGGCCACTTTGAGATCCATTGACCGTACACTTTAGGTGATTACCATTCCGGCCGTCAGGTTTGCCAAAGAAAGCAGTGGCCAGTGAGTCCGGTCTGTAGTGTATAGATCTATATGGATAGGTATTAACAAACAACACATCCGGGGTAAGCTCTAGGGTGACAGACGAGCGATCAGCGGCCTCATGCAATCGAGCAGTCCTCCGTAAATCTTAGCACGTGTCGCGTGCGTAACACACCCCCCTTTATAAGAGATAACATTTTCTTTACTAAACTATAGAATTAGGACTCTAGAAAGCTTTCTAATCATATTTAAGTATAGTTCTATATAGACTATTATATAATATATATAAACGATAAGAGAAAAAGAGTAGATAAATAATTTTTGAAAAAAATCTTTAAATAATAGATATCTTAGATAGAGAAAAGAGAACGAGACTAAAATAGATGTTTATTTAACTTATTTATTTATTCTTTTTTTTCTATATTTCTTATATAGTAGAGAGTAAGATACTATATAGAAGTATATTTAGATATTATTAAAAAGCTTCCTAGAGTTCTAATTCTAGAGTTATTAAAGATGATATAAGATCTTTAGAAAATTAAAAATGTTTATTTTACGCGCAACTCTTAGCGCTAAGAGTTGCGCTGAAAAAGTCACGGACGAATTACCGTGCCAAGCGTCAACCTTTTCCTCATTGGATTCCATTGTTTTGCTGCCTATACTATAGTACCTACATGTGCTCTGGGGCTATATACTAGTGTACATCACTAATTATGCTTATCATTATTATTATTATCATCATCATTATCATCATCATTTATGGACGCTGCTTTCTTGTTCAACCGTAAGCTTAGGTGGTGGTGCCAGTGATGCCACTTCGGACACAGCTCCGCTCGGCGTTGTCTTACATATTTCTATTTCATGTACTTACTTGCGTGTCGAGTGGCAAAATACCAACTCATGACTTTGATAATATAACCAACAAACTTGGTGTTACACAGGTGAAGTCGAAGCCAACGAGAGTGCAGAGTAAGCCAGTGAAGGGTAAGCCAACGAAAATGAAGGGTAAGCCGCCTCGCCTTTCTTCGCATAAAGCCCGTTCGTCTACCCTTCAACATTCTTTCCTCAATCCACAATCTTCCAAGCAATCCAAGTCTGCTTCCCATCAACTGAATCTTCGAACCAAGCCTTTAACTCCGTTCCTTCGAACTAGCGCACCCTAAAACGTCCCTCGCTTTGTCCAGGTCTCCGCGTCTACTGCACAGCTTCGTCTCGCGCCCAAACCCCCACAAAATATTCACTCTACGAGCCCTAGGTTTCGCCTGATCAAGGAACAATCTTTATTCTGTTCGCGACACCTAACATGACGGCATCCGTCCCTTCCGCTGCCGTCCTGATGAACAATGCTCCTGGTTACCCTCCACCAAACACTGATCCACTCCCAAGCGATTTTCCGCCTATGTTTTAGCAGATACTTGAGTCCACTTCTTGATCATCCGCAACAGCCGAATTCCGACTCTGCCAGAGACAGGACAGCTCCATCCATACACGCATTGTGCCTTCCACTACAGAGTGGCTTTAGGCGACCTCCACAGATACTCTAAGATAAATTCTCCGTCTAGGCCCTGAATTATAACGCGCTCTCAATCTCCTGCTCAATCATCCGCTGCACTATGGCTTGGCTATCACTTCGAAGGTTGGGTAGATTCTTTGGCTTTCTGGAAAGTGCTGAATTGAAAAATTGGAAAGCGGCGTCCTGAGACGAGTCGGTATCAGAACCACGACTTTAACGACTGTTATCAATAATCTGGCGTTAAAATAGCGTTTCGTTGACTCAACGCGAGGACAACACTTTTTACCTTACCGTCCTTTATAGGCAAGGTTCTTGTCCTCACCTCAAAAGTTTCTGAAGTCCAACGGGAATGGTTCGTCACTTCATTTACAAAAGTTCTTCTGGCCTTTACCAAAACTTCTTTGTCTAGATAATTTCCCACTCTCTTCGTGCGTCTCACATAAGCAGGTGCACACGCGTGACTCATCGCGCACAAGATCCAGCCTGTCTGAACACGACTGGTCTCCATTACAAGTGTCTACAGCACAATTTGAATATACCATTCTTAGTCTGTTCCGCAACCCAGTCTGACATCCCAGCAGCCGCATTCACACTCGCTTCCGCTTTCTCCACCGGCGAACTTGAGCAATGGCTGCGCTATTCTTCGTTAGCACCCCCACGGTACATACCGCGCGAAGCTAGACTGAAGATTAACCAGCCACGCAAAGTCCTACTTATTGCCAGCGATGACGATGTGTAACCACCGCAGATTGCAGGTTGCGCGATGTAGACGCGCAAAGGCCATAATACGCATGCGGCTACGCATGGAACCGTGGTACGAATATACCATTCTTAATCACAGTGTTGACTGGACTCGAATCAATCACTTCGATCTCATCACATAAGACTTCCCTTCCCTACCCTCAACTCTCTTACCGATTATTGGGACTTGTCCAATCTTGCTGTGGCCCCAGAACTTCAACGGCGTGGAACAGGTAAACTGTTGATGGAGTGGGGTATGCAGAGAGCGACTGAGGAAGGAGTGGTGTATGTGCTGGAAAATAGTCCGCAAAGAAAGCGCTAGTATGGGAAAACCAGGCTGGAAAGTGTGTCAGAGAGCATTATGTACTGGCATAGAGGGATGTGGCATGATTTTTAGATCCGAAGCTAGAAGATTGACGACATCTATATAATAAATAATTATAGTGTAAGAGTAAAGAGTAACCTTAAGCTAAAGTTTCGCATACGTGATGTGTTAGATAGAGCGTGCGAAGATCAACACTCGGTACTGCCTGAGCGTTTCACATTGCATTCGACCTGATATACTTACTCTAAGAAAATAATTGGCATGTCGTTCAAGCAAACATCACCATAACGAGTGAGCACCTAGCACATAGTAGCCAGAGAATCTTGCACTTTGCTCCTCTCCATTATCCATGAGACCTCATAAATACAGGAATGAATGGTGTGGAGAACTTTGTTATGTAGTCTAAATTTAAGAGAGGAGTCAAGCATCACAAATCATGTCGAAATACTGGCAAGATTACGTATCAGCAGAGAACACTCCATCTGGCCCGGCATATCCGGTATCATTTCCCCTTCCTGCGTCTCCTGCCAGGTTAGTAGTGGCTTCGGCCCACACCTTTACTTCTGGCGAGTACACCGGTTGGCCATCATCGTCGGGCAGGGTCACTTCGTTAGACGTGATCGCAACTATAAGACCATCGACACGGGATCGGTCGATTACAGTGCCGTCCTATCATGTATCAGTCCAGTTCTTCTTCGCACCTTCGTATGGACAAAACTCACTAGAGTAGCTCTCCAATGCATATTCCTCTTGAGATAGTCGACTACGGTTGTCGGTCCTAAATCTGGGATGAGCTGTGCAAGGTATCGTTCTGCCAGGGCAACTGTAAGTGGGATCTGGCCCGTGACGTGAACATTATCATCTTGATCTTGCTGGCATTTCTCACAGCCTGTCGTCTCAGTCTGTCCGAAGGGCGAGAACATGCCAACGTGGTTCGGCGATAACGGCCACAGGATGACATTGTCTTCCTGTACGGGTCCCAAGAAGATATGAACCTGGTATCTTCCACGTAAAGAGTGCTTCAAGGCCTTTATGTTAACTAGCCATTCCAGGTACTTGTTGTCAGGCGCCAAGTCTCGCAAGAAAGGCATCTCGGGTTTGAGCGATTGCGCAAGCAACTCTTGTGTTGGAGGAAGAGATGGTACGACTGTGAATGCTGTTGCAGTGTTCACAGTCTCTTGACTGGCCATGGCTTTGTGCATCATAGCTGGTGCAAGGAGGTCCTGGCCCGCCGTCTCAACTCTGCGCTTGCTGAGTTGAATATTTCTGGACAAAGGTTGATAATAAGCATCGACCTTCGCAGTCAGCTTTGCTTTCGCCTCTTTGGACACCGGGTACGAGAGACCCAAGGTTTCTGGGTATGCATAGCCAAAGCGTTCCGTCCTCTTCACCATAGTGGAGTCGAACCAGCCCGTTGGAGAATCTTCAAACTTGAAGGGGTACAATTTTGTGGAAGCGTCTTCAGTGGAACCTCGTGGGAGCATTGCAGTTCCGTCTCCGCCTTTTCTCTTCGTAACCCAAGCATCAGGAGAACCGTCATCATGCAAGCCTTGCCAGATGGCGAAGAGTCGATCAATGTTGCAGTGATGGAGCCAGAATATTGGATCGAATGCAGCTGTGGCAGGACTTCCCATGTGACCGCCTCCACCGACGGCATTGTGAACAGTGTTGTGAATACCTTCTAAGCTTCCCCATGTCTCAATGCCATTGAGCGGAGCTCTGTCAGGGTTGCCGCCATCCTCCGAGTTGAACCACCTATTATTGCTCATGGTATCATACCGGCCATATGACTTCAGTATATACGCTACCCGCTCAGAAAGATTTTTCGCAGCGTTGATGGACCTTCGGATATTTGTTTTGTCTGCAGTCTGAGGGTTCCTGATCAGGTCCCACAGCTCGTTCTGCTGCGGATATCTCTCAGTTATCTCCGTCTCCTAGAGGGATTCAGTATGAGATTCGGTTCTGTTGGAACAGACACGACATACCGATATGTCATTGGGCCTGTTTCGTGGAAACTTGTAATTAAAAAGCGGGTTAACGGCATTTTCCTTCAAATCAGAAGCTGTGGAATTTGGATTAGGAACAATTGGTGTATACTCTTCCTGGTTCGCCAATGAAGGAAATAGGTCTGTTCTGTCGGGTCGAGCCCAATCCCAGTATGGAAGACGCAGGTTCTTGGCAATCAAAAGGTATTCGCCCTTCTCTGGATTTGTGTCAGGGATTCCAATAGCAACGTCTTGGACGTGCCTGTGAAGAGCCGACTGTGGGAACAGCATAAGCAACAGAAACTGCTGAAGCCACGCACGTGAGAGAACTCACCTCGAAGAGGGCGAGATAAGGACGGTGCCATGTCAAGAAGATGATCGAGGTATGGGTGCAAAAGCCTCTTAGTGCACCCTTGGATACGTCCAACTCTTCCTTTGTTGCTGTTCTGGGCCATGGAGTCCGGTAAGGCACGCCATGAATTCCTATGGCCATTAAGCTCTAAAAAATCTAACCACTTCTACATTGACTGACCGGCCAACTGAAAGTAGGACAGTGGATCGTCCTTGTCAACTCTCTTGAGTTTCTCAAGACCCTCGAGGAAGAGGTACAGCTCCTTATCAGACAGGTCTCGTAACTCCTTGCGGACTGGAGCCGGACCTATACACCTATCAGCGACAGAACTCAACTATAATCCGAGGTATACTATAGACGGCGAGTAAGGATAATAGAAACATACTTCCTGGCTCGAGTCGGACGCCATTGGCAAGGAGATTCGCCCATTTGGTCATCTTGAGTCCTCTCGAAGGTTTGTTCCGGGCAATATGAAAGTAGATGGATGGTCAACGGAGAGACAAGGGACTATATACCAGACCGCTTGTTGGAAAAGTCGATATCAGGGCTGAGAATTGTACCCGATCTAGACTGCCTCACAGGGTGCGCTGTGGCTTGCTGTATGTTGACAGAAATCCCCATGCCGGTATAAGGTTGGTGGATAGATGCCTGGCGAGAATAAAAAGCCTCTAGTTGGATCCTGAGAACAGATAATTAATGCTGTGGAATGTTGATACGAACCAACAGGGCGACCAGGTTGCTGTCGAATTATCACACCCAGTCACATTCGTTTGGTGTCAGAGCTGAGCATAAGCATCGATGCATGTCGACTAAGCTGTCAGCCACATGTGTTGTCGAATAGGAACGGGCTAAGAGTCTCGACCATTCCAAAAGGCCGTAGTCGTTGTACTTATGCAGGCATAGTAATAGTAAGTGCTTATAATGCTCTGCTACAAATGCAGTGAAAGTGTAGTATCGAAGATAATCGTGAATTGATCAACGACGGATGCGCGACGCGACCTTTATCATGCACTCGAGAGTCACGTGATATACCAGATCAAGAAAACGATGTTCTCCGGTAATAATAAGCACGCTGAATGGGCGCAGGTTTTTCAAAACCTGATAATAATCTGAATCTGGTTATTTGCTTTCATAATGGCCTTCTCCGACCGACCAACTTGGACTACCGGGATACTCCAGCGCGAATTGATTGCAGATGTGGTGCTGTTTGTCTCAGATTGGCATACACTCGAACTGAGTATCGACGCCATATAAGAAGGGCTGCCGCTGAGTTGTACACTATGATCGAACACATACCATGAAAAGTCGCGGAAATCGTAGCAAGACCGAGCCATCCTTATTGAGTGGATACGCCGCCTTGATGCTTTCGAGATAATTTTGCAGGAACGTTTTCTGCATGTCTTTCTCTAGTGGCTGTAGGTAGGGCCTCAGCCCACTCTGTTTGAACCAAGAAACTATAGCCTCGTGCCCATCAAGGCGATGCTGGTAATAAGTGTGCCAGATATCAATGTTCCGACAAAGAGGCTGCATGCGATCATATAGAGTGTTGGGTCGCGGAAAGATTGAACGACCCGGACTTTTCTGGGATAGAAGTCCTGCCCAAGGTCCTGCGGACGCCGTTTCGGCCATGAGGACATGACTAGGTTCGGTCACGTTGTCCGGAACCTGCATCGCGAACACACCACCACTTGGCTGGCTCTTCACCCACTTCTCAATGATAGGAAGAATCAGCTCGGCGGGCAGCCACTGCAAAGTAGCATTCGTGAAGAGTAGATCTGCTGCCTCATTTCCCTGCGGCGGTTCCCATATCGCCAGGTCGGCGAGTTCAAAATCTGCAGCTGGTAAGACTTCCCGAGCTTTGCGTAGCATGTCTGGTGACGAATCAATTCCGCGGATGCGAGTACTTCTCGACGAAGGGTATCGAGAAGCAAGAACTGCAGTCGAGTTGGCGGGTCCACAGCCAAGATCAATAATGTTCTTAGGATTCTGCAGTGGAATTGCAGCTACAAGGTCCCTTGACGGACGCGTTCTTTCGTCAGCGAAGCGTAAATACTGGGATGCATCCCAGTCAGCAGTCTGTCCTACTGAAATTGCTCGTGAGCCCTTCGCGGATGATGCCCTGAACGAGCTGCCCACGTGGCCATGGACCTTGCATGGAATTCTGAACGCGTTCATTGCGAGTTGGGATGCAATTGCAGTAGTAGTGACCGGAAGGACGGCAAGTCAAAGGGAAGAATTAGGAATCTGTAGAGGTAGGTACGAGAATGTCCCAAGTGTCTAGTGTATTTTAATGTACCATACTAAAATTGCTGTTGGATCCCTATTATGTCATCCCCATGAATCAGATGTTATTCAGCACTAGGCTTATATATAGAGGGAATAGCTAGGTAGATAGATACGTTGGTTGATCAACTTTACCTACGTTAAATCTACTGAAGTTTCTACATTATTATCTTAGAAGAAGAGAAAGATAAGAAAAAGAGGTAAATAAAAGACAGACGAGTAGGAAAACGGCGAAGATTACTTTGGCTAAACTGGTTCTATATAATCATCTAGGCAACCCCATAGGCTACGAATATACACGTGCCTTAAGCTTATTCTATATTGCTTAGTAAGATGGATTAGGCTGCATGGTAGAATGAACTATTGATGCGATACATTACATATAATACATGGCACAGCTTGAGTAGCCCTTGGTACGTAATTAATTGCCCGCTCTTTAACACTTGCACCTAGTAATAACCTGATACGCGAACGTGAGTGGAGAAGAACCTAATGCAGTCGAAACCTGGGGCTGATTATTAAGGAACCACTGCCAGTGGACTTCTTCTGCACTCTTAGCTCTCTACTAAAGCCATTCACCTTGACTGAAATACTATATCTAAATACAAAGGACTACCATCGTTGATGGTGCAACATGAGCGGTGCTCGCTTCCTGTACACTTTCACTTCTAATTTCACGGCAGCGCATTAGCCCGCACTGGCAACCTCGCAAGCCACCACCTAATGTCGATGTGAGCAAGGGCTCCAAGACCTTTGCCACGAATGCCGACATATATCTACATATTTGCACCATATATCAACTGAACAGAAGCAATCGAATGTCGTTAATGATGTCCAAGTGCGCAAGAAGGCGCAGACGTTATCGATTACGGCCCGCTACTGTCCATGTAGGTACATAATACGATTATTCAAGTTTGATTAAACGCTTTCCAGTCTCGCCCTCCTATTATTATCATGCTACCTACACATGTTGCATTCCAACCCGGGCAAGTCTCGCCCAAGACAGCCGCTTCAAAGCTCGCTCATCCGCCTCATGTGCCAACACTAGCTTTACGCCGCAGGTCGAAGTGGGTCTCGCGCACGTCTCGCGACTGGCACGCCGGATGGATCATGCAGGGAGTCAACGTCTGACGTAATGAAGACGCTGACGCTCCACGCAACAGATGCTCTTTGCGAAACTCCATAGCGTTGGTGCTCACTTTGCCAGGTCCCTATTCTCCTATTGTTAGAAGACTGTTGAACATATTGCTGTGCCTTCCTTATCCGCCGACACTCCGCACGGGAGTACTTGAAGGCTTCAAAACACCTACACCCAACGCTACCGACCCAAGTTTGCATTCTCCACTTACGCAAAATTTTCCTCGCATCACGGATCACGTTGTGGAACATCTCGCCGTCTCCATTTTTCCTGCCGTTGATATCACGAGCACTTGAGCCATGGAACTAAGATGGACCCCTTGAAATTTTCGTTGAACCTTGAGGCCGTAACGGTCACGCAAAGCCCACAATTGTTATCGTCTTCGGTGGGTCGATGAACTATTTCACTCGCATGGTAGGGATTGAACCACACCCTCCGATATTCCTGTACCTGGCTCCCAGTGGATCGCGTGGGTATCAACACGATCTCAAAACCGAGTAAAACCCGACTTTGCAAAAGATGGAATTGATACACGGCATGCAGTTACTTCTTTATCGTTGACGGTAGCGGAGTAAGTACCCCAACGCACTTTCTGTCTCCAGCGGAGCCCCGTGGTTGTTGCAGGTGATAACCTGCTCGAGCTTCTCTTTAAGTTGAACATGGGCTAATGATCCACTTCGAGCAGTGGACGCAACTATAAAATTGCTTCTCCTCACTTCTGACTTCCAAGTTCTATTCCTGTTTCTTTTCTGTACTGTCGTTTCTAATTCCTGCCCCAACCATAATAAACATAGTCACTTCTGACATCAGAGCCTCAATCTGCCTCGAACCTTGCGTTCTCAACTTTCTCGGTATGAGGTTCCTACATAGAAGACCAAGTAGCGTACCGACGAGCGGCAAGTCGACCCCAAAGACGACTAATGCAACGAACACTCCGTACAATAGATCGACCGAAGAACTCCCAGCTACAGACTCGAGTACCTCTGAGAAGCAAAGCATCGACGAGGGTTCTGTATCATGGTTTGCAGTATTCATGGGCTTGGTGGCTTCACTAGGTGGCTTCATGTTTGGCTACGAGAGTGGTCAAATCTCAGGTACATTGCGGGTTATGCCTTTTTGGGACCGGAAGGCTAACGATCTTCAGGCTTTCTCCAAGAGTCTGACTTCAGACAACGCTTTGCAGAACACGGAAGAGATTTCAGCAATGCCCGCTCTGGTACTATCGTTGCTCTACTCTGCATTGGGACGCTTCTAGGATGTTTGATATCTGCTCCGCTCGCTGATCGTATTGGACGTCGTTATACAATATCCAGTGCTGCTTTGTTTTACATCATTGGGGTCATTATCGAGATCACGTCGTCTACGAAGTGGTATCAGTTCGCCATTGGACGTCTCGTGGCTGGTCTAGGTATCGGTGCACTGAGTGTCACCGTGCCCATGTATCAATCCGAAAGTGTGCCAAAGAAGATTCGAGGGACTATCGTTACCTCATACCAGCTCCTCATCACCATTGGTATTTGGACAGCGTACATGGTCAACTACGGAACGTCAAAGGACTACGTCAACTCCGCTCAATGGCGCATTCCCAATGGTCTCTCAGCTTTGTGGGCCCTCATCCTCGGTGGTCTCATCCTTCTTTTTCCGGAGTCTCCTCGATATGCATACCGTATGGGTCATGAGGAACAAGCGCGCAAGACCATGGGCCGTCTCGCAAATGTTGATCCGCACGGCCCACACATCAACCGCGAAATTGCTGAGATCGAGGAAAAACTTGCTGCAGAACGCGCTGGTGGTGACCATGGAATGATGGAAGTGTTCACTGGCCCTCGAATGATGTATCGCACTCTTTTGGGTATGATCTTACAGGCTGGACAACAACTCACTGGGGGCAACTACTTCTTTTATTACGTCATCACGATTTTCACTGCGACAGGACTGTCAAATCCCTACGTCACCTCAATCATTATCGGCTCCGTTAACGTCGGAGCTACCATTCTGGCTATCATCTTCGGTGACCGTATTGGTCGTCGAAAGGCTCTTATGGGCGGAGCTGCCTGGATGTTCGTATGCTTCGTAATATACGCTTTCGTTGGTCATTTTATGCTTAAAGAGGGTCATGGCAATACCAGCACTGCCGGTTCTCTACTCATCGTCTTTACATGTCTCTTCATCGCTGCTTTTGCAACAACTTGGGGTCCACTCGTGTGGAGCGTGGTTGGTGAATTGTACCCCGCTCGCTATCGCGCATGGGGTATTGCTCTTGCAACATCAGCAAACTGGGGCATGAACTTCCTCATCTCGTTCTTCAGTCCCTTCATTACTGGCAAGATTGATTACTATTACGGACTTGTTTTCGGTGTTTGCTGTCTTGCACTGTTCTTCATTGTTTACTTTTTCATGATCGAGTCTCTCGGCCGGTCCCTCGAGGAGATCGATACCATGTACGTGTTGCATGTCGATCCACGGAAAAGCGCTTCATGGACTGGAGACGATCTTGGCCGTGATGGACCGATTGCCGGAACTGATCAGATGTTTTTGACAAGTGGCGGACGGAACATCAAGAAGGTTACTGAAGGTGGTGACGCAGTGAGGGCTCAGAGTGTTCATCTTGAGGGTTCGTCGAGCACTTAGCCGCAGAATATTGGATGATTGCCCCGAAAACACGTTTTAGCATGGTATCATATCGGATAGGACGTGATATCCCCGTCACTGTGTTTCAGCACATGTGCGGGGATCATACCGCTGCATAAGCAGCTCGGGGGTTTCTCAATAATCACTTTCGAATACTCATGTATATTTGAACCCAAATGCTCGCCATCTATTGATTCTTGCAAGTCATGATAGGCATCAGTATCCTCTTTCTACGTTTGAGCGGACGAAAAGGCCGTTGTAGCCGGTAACCAGGGTCTAGAAATGTAGGGGTTTCAAAACGCCATATCTGTTGTACCATGGCTTACCCCTCTTCTTCTAGGTAACACAGGTTACTGTTTCAATGTTTGTCCTCCCGCATTCACAGTTTGAGCTCGTTATTCATCGCCACCGCAAAAATCCTACAGAGTCACAGGTTCCTTCTAGATTAAAAGCAATAAAACTTTCGCCATGACTGAAAGTAGCCCACACGTCGTTACTTCAGCCATAACGTCCTATGGCGGTATTTCCATGCTCACCCAAATCGAGCAAGGTCTTACAAAGAATCCTCATTCTCTAGCTGTCATATCACAACATCAACTTTCAGGGCATCTGTCTGATATTACCAGTCCTTGTACGGACGAACCAGTGAACAACGGCTGCTTGGCCTGGACATACACTCAGCTCTTCGAAGCAGCCCTAAGACTGGCACTCGGCTTACGCATTCGGAGCATCCCAACTAACTCGGCTATTGTTACATTTATCCCTAACAGAGTTGAGTGGGCTCTCTTCCTTTGGGCGTCGACCATACATAAGCTGAACTTTGGATCTTTGGATCATACTGCACTCCAATCTGGCCGCCAACAAGAGCTCAGGGGCTACCTGACAGTACTTCGGCCTACAGTCGCTGTTGTTGTCAGACCTGAAGATTATGGGCAGATATATCGTGCTTGTGATGCTTGCGGGGTGGAGCAGCCATTGGTGGTCGTCCTTGCGCCCACACAACCAGTATCAGATGAGGCGTCTCGCCCATGGGTATGTATTAGTGAACTAGCAGCGTTTATATCTCCGTCAGACCAAGAAGATAGATCCATAATTCTTAGAACCGCAAGACGATATGACCCTGAACGCACCGCTGTCACTCTATTCACAAGCGGCACAACCTCTGGCCGGCCAAAAGGATGTCTGCGCCATGTGCAAGGATCCACATTCGTAACAGACGCTATATCCGACTCATTCAGATTAGCAGAAGACGCATGTCGATTCCTGCACATGGGCGTGAACTATCGCGTATCAACGGTCGCGCTGAGTCTATCGACCTGGAAATGTGGCGGGGCGACGGTGATATCTGGCGATGAATTCACCGCGGAGAGCGCGTTGCGTGCTATCGAGCGCTATGCCATCACGCACATGTTCTGCGCACCGTCTTTGTTCCATGCGCTTGAGGATCATCCCGCTTTTCCGAGAACCAACTTGACGCCGTTGAGGTATGTGCTCTTGGGAGGTGAGATCATTTCGAAAGAACGGTTCATGCACGCGGCAAAGGTTTTTCCAGGAGCGAAGATCGCGATTGGCCATGGGATGGTATGTTGCAGTTTCGTTTTCAAGATGTCATCAGAATTACTAATCATATTACTTCGTAGACTGAATGCAGTGGCACGTTCGTATGGCCTTTCTTCGACTCTGCGATTGAGGATATTCCGTTCAGGGATGGTATTGCGCCTGTCGGCTACGTTTTGCCCGGCCAAGCCATACGGATCTGGGATCTAGCCAATGACCGTCTTGCCCAAGCTGATGAAACTGGCGAGCTACAGATTTGCTCTCCCGCATTGATCAAGGACTATGTCGGTGTGGAAACCGTGGGTACGTTCATTGATGATCCCACTGGTCGTTGGTTCAAAACAGGGGATATCGCAGTCATGAACGAAGTCGGATTGGTGTGGATCCTAGGCCGTCTCAACGACAGTATAATAAGTCCTACGCTTTGATAGATGCAATATCATTAACACTACTAGGAATCAAACGAGGAGGTTGTTCCATCACACCAGCCGCTATCGAAGCATGTATTGAAGAGTATGTCGGCACTTCTGTAAGTTCTCGGCGGGGGTGTCCTTCACAAAACTCTTACCTCCATAGGCTTGTGTCTTCGGCATGGAACACGCGACTCTAGGAGAGGATGTCTACGCAGTAGTCGAGCAGCTCCATGGTAAAACCAGAAAAAATATAGCAGAGCATGTTCTTGTTAATCTGGGCAAGGACTACGCTCTCGGCAGGATCTTTATCTTGGAAGAGCTAGGTCTCGACGTCTTTCCGACGAATGCAACGGGGAAGAAGATGAAGGGTGTTCTAAAGTCTGATGTGATGAGATACTTGGCTAGCAAACTGCCGAGAATGGCTTGATTAATGTCAATTCGTGATCTCTAAAATATGTTAGAAGCTATATAATAAGGACTGTCATTATATAGTGTGATTTGAGGACTGATGTTGGGAAAACATCATGATAGTACTAGGAGTCATTGAGTCCAAATTGCTCATATCAACGTTCATGAAGTTTGCGTACCTTAAGACCAGTATGGAGGAATTTCTCGGATTAGACTTTTACAAGGACTGACATTGTAAGAGATCCTCCGTTCGACGTTTCCATCTACAAGATAAGACGCTCTCAGTAGAGCCAGAACACTTAATCGCTCCGTAACCTTCCAAATACGAATGCCGGAGGCGATTGCACGAACTGTGAGCCAAGACGAGGAATAACAATTCTGCGTTTTCAGTCCTTGGTCCCACGAAAGGTAGGCCTACTCTATACAGCGGAGGAGACGCAGCGGAGAGGCAGATTAGATACCACTCAATGTATACAATGTTATCTCGGGAAGATTCGACAGAGGTCATCTCGTGAAATCTGCAGGAGAGCCTAGAAGGCAAAGGATTAAGTTGGGTAGCGTCGCAAGGCTAAGCAGCTGCAGCCCTATTGAGTCACGAGTTATAGCCTGCATGGAACACGTGATATTGGGTGAGATTCAGACTCTGAAATGGTTATATTAATATCTCTAGTAAAGCCTACGTATAGGCCTGGTCTTCTTTCACGATTTCTCTTCGTTCGCTTAATGCGAATCTCTGACCAGAGAGGGTATCTTGACAAGCGAATGGTGATTACAAATTATTAATGCGTCTATGGGCGGAGATCACAGATCTCCTCGCTTATGCTCATGCAAAAATTCGAATCAAGCAGTCTTCGGCTTCTCAATTGGTTTGCCATTCTCGTCTATTAGACCTTTTGCACGCATGACCTTCAAGGCATCGTGTAGCGGATCCAGGCTTGGATCTGGGGCGCGGTGGCTTCCGAAGTATGAATCGGCGAAGGTAAAATACTGTCCGTAGTTGACGGTGAAGTACATGTGGTGCAGCGTGTGATGCGCAGGGCTGTTGAGCCACGCCTCAGTCCAATGGCCAGTGATCATATCGCCGTCGTGAATGAGTATAGTCCAGATCTGGACGGCAACGAAGAGAACGAGGTATAGATAACGCTGCATAGGGCATATGAAGACGACCAGATGATAAGGGACCGATTGAATGAAGCCGTCGACAGGATGAAAAGCCAGAGCAGCCCATGGTGTGGGCACTATATTGCGTTAATTTACCGGGAGGCGGAGATTGGAGGTCACGTGATACATACCGATCCATTTGTGATGCGGCTTGTGGACATACTTGTAGACACTTGGATGGTGCTCAAGACGATGAATCCAGTAGATCGCAATGTCATTGAAGGCCATGTACAACACAGCGGAGCATACCAGCCACGGCCAGCCGTAGTCGCCCACATTGGAGTATATCAGACTCTTTCCGCGCACTTCAGCCAAGAAAATGGGTAAGGTGAGGAGGGTGATGAACGGCACAGCGAACATTGAGGATTTTATTTCAAGTTTGACTTGGTTCTTTAAAAAGCGGGGGTGGTATTCGAGACGGCGGTCGAAGATGAAGTAGTATGACAGCGCGCTGAATATGAAGTACAACGATGAGGCACCGATTTGCGTGATGGTAAGGATGGAGATGATCTGACGGTATATGTTGTCGCGCGGCCATTGTGACGAGATCGTTGCGTCTAGTATTGGGAGGTCGGAGTATGAGGTGTTGTTGTTGCTGAAGGAGAGGGCTTGTTGAGGGAGAGCCCAGGCATAGGCTTTGTCAAGCACCAGGGGGTCGAGGAACTCCAGAGCCACGTCCATGATGGATGAGGAGGGCGGAGTGACAATAGCGGTTCGTGAGAAGTGCGCAAGTATACAATCAAACGTCCCTCGATCAGACGCACTATACAAGGCTCGAGGATGGAGTGATGGGACGCGACAATTGGGAAGAAGAAGCTGGAGTTGAAGAAAAAAAGAGTGGGAGTGCGATCTCTGCTAGTGACATCGGAAGGAGATTTGCCGCTTCCTCCAGCGCCGGCGTCGCCAGGGTCCAAAGTCACACCATTTGGCCTTCCCAGGTTCCCCACCTGCACTAAGCCTTATTAGCGTCAGGGGCCTGTTGATCTTGTCTCCTTTCGGGGAGGGGCAAAACATCCCGCTCCAGATCATCGCGTCGCCGCCGGAGGAGGGAGTATTTAAAGTATCTTCGAGCAGGCACTGGACTTTCCAGCTCGCTGAATATTCTCAAGAGACTGTCTAGAGAGTGTCATGCTCACGCGTATCCTTATGAGAATGCAATCGACCTAGGCGGCGTCTCCCTACTAAAAAAGGTAACTAGTAGAGGAACAAAGACACTTTCCATTTGAAGACTCGAGACAATTTAAACCAACACTTTTAAAATTGGGACTCTGGCTCGTGTCTCAATGCTGGAAAATGATGCCAGCCCAGCTTTCCGAGTCTCTATCTTATCTACTCGTTGGCCAAAATCGCTAGCACGACGTAGGTAATCGCTATATCTGCAGAACGCTGGACCGGGACATGTATATCTGGTGGGACTTTGGTATTCGCCAGTATAGTCTTCATCTGAATGATGTACCTTTCGACTCACTGACACTAGCTCTGGCTTACGGAGCCCTCTCCGATATGTCTTCTACACTACTCAAACTGAGTTCAGTACTAGAGTGATATTCTACTTCGGCAGCGGGCATGATCTCTATACATCAGTTCGCTCGATCTCACCATTGCCATCTCGTCCAGGTATGCCGGTAATGACACCAGGTGAAAAGCTAGAAGAAAGCTTGCCGCTCTGCGGCATATGCTCTCATTCTTTTGTTCAAACAATTGCCATAGCTAAGGCTTCTGCCGCGAGAAGTCTTCTTGACGCTTTCTATGGGCAAAGTATTCTGATTGTTCATGCGCCAGTAAGTGTGAAAACTGACGGAGTACTTGGCGAACTGTATTCGCTTTCAGTATCGACTGTCCTCACTTGCTGTCTGGTTCATGGCGAGTTACACACGATTAATCGAAGACGAAAGTAGTGACGTGTTGAACAAGTCCGGCTGCAGCTTGAGCCTGGTGACTGGGTGCTATCAAGATTAGGATCAGCCACCGAGCCCCCCGTCCACTAAACCGCGGAATCGGTTACGCTGAATTCATACAACTTCAGTATCGACGAACAAATCAGGGAAGCAAAAATACTTGCCTTTGCCTCGTATACCTCTATACTTGTGATGAACCATTGGCTCTGGCTCATCTTGCCGGTGTCATGCGAAATCAAGTTGCAGACTCGGATCTGTCGTGCCTCAAACGATATGATGAATAGAGGAACGAGAGTTTCTAGATGAAGGCTTAACGTTCGCAGTGATTAGGTCTGCAGGAGAGAACGTTGAAAGTTTAACGGACGGCAACACAGACATAACTGCTCCACCGCGTAACTAACACTGTCATAACTTTCCACGCAGGTCAACAGTGCTGAGAAGTGAAAGCATCGCACAGCTTTGTGGTTGAGTGTCAAACCACTGTTCCAGTATCGTACGTGAATATTTGTAACTTTAGCATTCACACTACGTAGCTACCAGGGTAAGCCATAAAGGGTTTAGTGAACAAAGGCTAATGTATTGTTCCAAGCTATGATCCATAAGCGTAACCTAAACAGACTAGATGCTCTGACGTGTCTATAAGATGCCCGTACGGTGAAGCACGATTACCTTGAACAATGCAGTGCCACACAGATAGATGCCTATCTTCCGCCCGCGGAATGACACTTCCTCGATTCAAGGCCATCTCAAGCAGCTTGGAAGTCTCTCAACGAACCCAACAATCTAAGCTCCACAAAGTGTGTAGCGGATATCACCGCCAGTCCCGGCCACGTTCGAGTTGGGCTGCTCGGGGGCTGCGGTGGCCTTGGAGTCGTAGTAGACCTGACTGGGGCATTCCTGGCTCGCAGGGCAGGTAAATTTGCGGCAATTGCCGCTGGCACATACAACACTCAAGCCATCCTTCCATACCGGGCAGTTGGCGCCTCCGGAGGCGGGACCGGTCGCGCAGTCGACGAAGGAGATATCGTACCAGATCCTGTTGCCGACAACATCGACAGTATACTCAAGTTGAGTGACTGGGCGCATCGGGGAGCCTGTGTTGGTGGTGCTGAGCTTGATGGAGACTCCGCCGGACGACGGTACGCGGATCTCATCGTAGTGGATGGATTGGCGGTTGATAATGTAAGGGGCGGGAGTTCGATGATCGGCGTCAATGGTCCATGCCCAGAGATCGTAGCCACAGTTGTTGACCACTACCGCATTATTGGCTGATACGGCAGATAGGAGAGCCATAAAGAGGGGGACCAGGATGGTCATGATGAACATGATGGGGCTTCTATGTGGAACTAGTGCGCTTTGCAAGGGGATACTGGTTCATAAGAGATTGGTATAGTCTGAGATTGTCGTGAACATTGGCAATGTGTAAGAGGTATCCGCATTAGGGGATGGTATTTATAGCCATGCTATCAAAGTACGCGTCTCGGAAGAAGATATTAACAGTGGTGCAAGAGACTCGTCACAGGTAAGAATGCGTTTACTGGGCGGTTTTTTACTGACCTCTGCTTACAGAGGGTGTGCTCATTTGGAGAGGAATCATCCATGTGTGAGCCTTCGTTCACAGATAGGAGTATGCGGAGACACTCCAAGAGGTCATGGAACTGGTATACTCGTAAGTACCATAACGCTTTACAGTTCTGCCGTGTGGGATACCTCCAGGGCTAGAATGTTACTGCAAAGCTCTTCAAAAAGTGCCTTGCAAACGACCTTACGCCCAGGACGGAGCCTGAAGTCGCAACAGGCGGCTTGCATCAGCGGAGTTGAGCTACGCTTGAATGGTCAAGGAAATTTCATCCCCCACAACTGACACTGTGAATGATCCAAGCAGGCTAAAGAGGAACAAGCAAACCCATTTAGCTGTGTCTTCTATCACATTAAGTCATTGCGTTTAACATCTTACCACGGATAAAGATGTAACATCATACAGTCCCAAGCCGTCCACAGCGAACGTCCCCTAAAGCCTTTCCACTTCTCACGCACTTCCGAACCGCCGTGTCATTAGACATTGTCTATAAATCTAAAAATCTCATCACTCTTGCAAAGTCTTCTTCCATGCCATTTTCCACGCCATCGAAGCTTGTGGAGTCTGCCCGGGGGAAGAGGGGTCAGGGGACATTTTACTTGATAATATCTACGATACATTGCAGGGTCGAATAAAGTCGCCATGGAGTTACCTCATTCTAAACCCCTTATATATATACCCCAATCTCCCGCCCGCTACACCCACCACGACCACCAACCCTCTTCGCCAGCACCACTACCACCATCACCACCACCAGACTACCCCAGCACCGGCGGCCGCGGCGTCGGCGACACCCCCGTAGCAATATCGACAAACACACCCAGCACATCCGACGGCACCTGGGCATACACGTGCACGACTTGCAGCGCACAGGGAACCAGGGTATACGTCAGAAACACATCGAAGAAGACATGTGCGGGGACGGGGATCTTGTGTAATAGGCCGAGGTCCTGGCATGAGAAAGAGGGTGTCAGTGGGGTTTGTATGGTATGTATAGGAAGGGAGGTAGAGAGAAAGAGAGAGAGAGAGAGAGAGAGAGAGAGAGAAAGAGAGAGAGAAAGAGAGAGAGAGAAAGGGGGGAGACGCACGCCGGTGACGTTGAAGAAGGAATGCGTGTCGTCGATGTTCAGATATTTATCCGTGTGCACGTCCGTGACGATTTGGTATATAATGGCCAGAAAGCCGATCGAGGTCTGCCGCTCCAGGGAGACGGGGATGTCGCCGATTTCATTGGGGTTTCTGGACGTGCGGACAGTCGCGGTTAGTTGAATGTGGCGCTGTCTTGTTGGTGTTGATGTTGTTGATATGGACGTCTACATGGACATGGGGGAGTGAGTATTGGACAACAAACGTACATGATGATCCTCGCGTCGGGCGAGAATGCCAATGCCTCGTACGCGGCCGTCGACTCGGCAGCGGTCGGCTTCTGGATTGCGTAGACGGCTTCTTTGGCAATCTCGATGCGGCGCTGGGCGTTGCATTGCGCGGCAGCAGGAGACGACAGAGGACCTGCGACGGAGCAATGCAGTATCGCCGCGGCGGCTGCGAAGACTTGAATTGCTGGGAAGCGCATAATTCTGGTGTGATTCCAGGCAGGGTAGGAGTTTGTTATGACTGTTTGGAGTATAAAAGATGATGAAAAACCTCCACCGAGAAGAGCCTCGAATATCTGCCGGTGTGGAATTCGATAGAGTTCTCTACAAACAACCACTGTGAGCAAACAAGCGAGCGACAGCGGCTCTGCAATATATATATATATATATCTACTACTACATACATACATGTAGTAATGCTGGGGGCATTATGTCATTTTTTTTCCATCTTCACCACCGACGCATCCACGCATAACATGCATATGCATACGCATACACGATAACAAGCTCCCCACTACATGAATCCGGATGGATACTGCTAGCATCACATGTGGGATTCCTATTAGGTAATCCCCGTTACTTAGATCTTATTTAGCGTTAGGCTGGTATATATAGCACTTAGATAGACTTAGTAGACACGTTAATTAATTTTTACCACGTCTAATTTACTAAAGTTCCTATATCTAGTAGCTGAAATCTAGTTTTTATCCTCCTAGGGAGGCTATCGCTTCGGCGATGCCTCCTAAGGGGTAGTTATCTTACCCCTTATATAAGGGAACTCGTTAAAAACATTTAACGCTTACGACGAACTATATAACTTACTAGATAATAATAAGAACGAACCTAGAGTCTAACACGAAAACCCTTCTCTAAAGTAATATATTCTAATTTCGGAGATAGAAATTACGGTAATAAAGCTTAATGACTAAATTCGATAGTCCTAGCGGATAGTAATATATTATAAAATAAGCTAAAAGAGTCACGTAAGAAAAATATATATTAACTCCCTCTATATCCGCGATAAATATTCTAGCTACTTATTAATATAAATTAATACCGTAATTCTAACTTAGAAGATAATTATTACCCTAGGAAACGCCTTCCTTACCTAAGCTATATTAAGATATCTTCCTTATAGAACCCCGATCGCGATAGCGACGTCTCTATAGAAGGAGCTAATACTCCCTAAAATATAGGACGCGCCCGTAATAAGCCGTTAAATACTATTAACGCGCTTACCGCACTCCTTAATACTAACCCGGCTATAAGGGACCTTACTAGAGACGCTCGTACGTTAGTACTAATTAATATATATACTAATCGACTCGAGTTATAAATAAGGAACGACTATATTACTCGAGAAGAACTAGTAAGAGACTTTAATAACCTCCTCCTTAATAACCCTAACCGGGCGAGCCTAGCTATACTAGTAAGAAGAGGCCGTATCCTACTCTAAGCACCTAATATATACTTAGGAGAAACTAGAGATAACGCCTACGAGGAATAGTACTTATTAATCTAGAAATGGATTTATACCGTGGAATTAGTAGAGCGCTAGGAAGCTATACCTAAGTTCGAGAAACTATAAATCTATAGAATATATATATTAAAGTATATCTATACCCTTTAGTATAGCCTTATAGAAGCCCATAGACGTAATAACCTAGATAGTCCTTAAATACTAGACGGCTTTCTAGATATTATACGTTAAACGTATATCTCTACTAATCGCCCCGAATAGCGTAGAAAGAAATAGAAGAACCTTACTTAATATCGTTTCGGATCTACCTTAAAGCTTATTAATACTATTATTAAAAAGGCACGACTTCTACGACCCATGCCTTCTAAATATAAGATATAGCGTAGAATTCTAGGCGCCCTTAAGTCTAAGGTTTAACGTAAGATCGAAAAGTAGCCCTTTTCTTCTATAGGATTAGAAGAGTAGTATCTATAGGTAAAGAGGCTAGAGGAAGCCTTATATATCTACTCTAGAAACGAATACTATAGGCGGGAGGCTACTTATTATATTAATACTATATATTACTAAGACGAAGAGGAGGAACCGGAAGAATTCGAACCTTCTAAGGACTTATATATACGCGAAGATAAATTAGGCGACTACTCTAGAGACGAGGGTAAGCTCCACGCGTTTATAAAGCGTTAATAGAGTAACCGAGGCCGCGGTAGAGGCTAGAACTAAGGCCGAGGCTATGGTAAATACTAAGGAGGCTCGTTAAGAGCTCTTAATAAAACCCGAGAATACTTTAACTATAAGAAGTTAGGATATATCTCGAGATTCTACCCCGAAAATCCAACTCTAGGTAAGCTAGTCTATATTACTACTAAGGATGACGCGTTAAGCGTCTTTAATAAAGAGGCCCTAAAAGCTAGTCGCCCGTAGTAGATATAGAAGATACTACAAGCAACTATAAGAGCTTCTATACTAATAATACCGATAAAAATAAGATAAACACATAGAACTATAAACATATTAACGCGCTTTACAAATCGCTAGAGAGTGTCTACTATTATTAAGAGGAGTTAACGGACGTTATCGACGATCGCCTCTATTAACTAAACTCTATTAGTAGATAGTTACTAGAACTTAAGGCTTACGTAGGGGAAGTCCACCCCTAGAGGGTTTTAGTCCTTATTAACTATAGGGCTAATAGAACGTATACGTTAACGAAGGTTACTAGGCGTCTAAAGCTAGTACCGTAACCTACCCCCGTAATACGTGTTAAGCTTCCGTTAGGAGCCCTAATAATAAGTTAAGAAGTTATAAAAATCCCTCTTTATATGGAAAGCTTTACTTACGAAGTCTCCGCGAGAGTACTTAACCTTAAGGGCTATAATCTAATTCTAGGTTATAAATGGCTTTATAAATAGGATCCCGATATATTATAGAGATCCTATTCCCTAGTAATTAGGAGGCTAGTAGCTTAAGGAAGGACTAAGGAGTATCTCCTTAAGGGGATTCCCGCGTTAATCGATATTAACTTATAAGGAGAATAAGTGCTAAACGTCCTTACCGCTAGCTAAGCACGGAAATAATATCTAAACGGCTATAAGTAAGGTGTAATATGGTTCATTAGGAAAGATAACCCTCCTATACCATAGGCACCCGATCTAATACTATAAACGGTTTTAACGGAGTACTAGGACGTCTTTAAAGAAAAGCTACCTAAAGGACTACTACCTTTAAGATAATAGGACTATAAGATAGATATAGGAGACGGCCGACCCGTTAATAACGCCGTCTACCGCCTCTCCCTAGAATAAATTACTAAATAGTAGAAGTAGATATAGGAGCTTATCGAGCGAGGGCTTATCTAAGAATTAGGAAGTACCTAGGGTAGCCTAGTACTTTTCGTACCTAAACCCGGAGGTAAATAGCGAATATATATTAATTATCGAGTACTTAATATACTTACGTATAAGGATACGACCCCTCTTCCGTATATAGATGAATACCTATATACCTTCGGCTAGTTAATAGTGTTTAGTAAGATAGACTTAACCTTAGGGTTTTAGTAAGTACGAGTAGCCGACGAAGACGTCCCTAAGACCGCCTTTAACACGATTTATAGTAAATACGAGTTTAAGGTAATGCCGTTTAGTCTATTAAACGCACCTACCACATTCTAAAAGATAATAAATCGAGTTCTTTAACCCCTACTATATAAATCCGTGGTTATATACCTTAATAATATTATTATCTTTTCCGAAGATATGGAAGAACACGCTAGAGTACTATTAAAAGTACTTACTCTACTCCGTGAATACCGCTTACTTACTAATCCGGAGAAATATAGTTTTAGCTAGACCGAAGTTAACTTCTATAGACACTACGTCTTATAAGGATAACTTCGCCTAATAAAGAATAAGATTAAGGTAATTCGCGAATAGCTAGAGTCTATAAACGTTAGCGAAGTCTAATAGTTCCTCGGCCTAGCGAATTATTATCAGAGGTATATCCGGGGATTTATAAGTATCGCCGCACCTCTAATAGACCTCCTTAAGGAAGTAGACCCTCTTATCCGTAAATAGAAATATAGGCCTATTTAATAGACGCTGTTAACGGCGTTTACCTTCAAGACCCTAAAGAATACCCTGTGTTCCGAACCGGTTCTAGCTTAACCTAATAAGACTAAGCCCTTCTATATTAAAATAGATATAAGTAACTATACGATCGGTATAGTAATCTACTAGGAGAATCCTAGTAAGTAGTATTAGCTAATCGCGTTTAACGGACGAAAGCTTAATAGCGCCGAGCTTAACTATCCGGTTTACGAAAAAGAACTCCTTACTATTAAACACGCCCTACGCACTTAGGGATACCTACTAGGAACGAAGAAGACGACGATCCTAACCGATTACTATAGCCTATAGTTCCTTAAGTCTATAAAGGAATAAGAAGGCCGTATAGATAGATAGATTGATAAGTTCGGAAGCTTTAATCTCGATATAAAATATCGCCTAGGATCTAAGGCGGTAGTACCTAACGCCATTAGTAGAAGGCTAGACTTCTAAGGCGAGATCTCCGCGATACCGTTAAGTAAAGTTAATAAACACGTTCTTATAGTCTAAATTATTAAGTTCCTAAAAGGAGCCGACCCGATAGAGCATGTACTAAAAGTCTCTCCCGAAATCCTATCTCGACTACGCCTTAACGCCGAGAGTAAACTTCGATATAAGCTATAGGATTTTAATAATTATAAGAATAGGGTAGTTGGATAGTAGTATAGCTAGATAGAACAATGGGGTGTATTCTATTATAGAACGAATTACTACCAAACCCTTTCGGTAGGAATCCGAGAGTATATATATAAAGGGACGCCGATCTATCTAGCACGTAACTATTTACCGCCCTTCACGTTACCTCCTAACCCTATTAGCTAAGGTACGTATAGGTCGGGTTCTACCTAAGGCTAAGTCCTAATAATTATTCCTTCTCTCTAGGAAGCTACCCTTAGTAACCTAGATTATTACCTATCTCTATACCCCTATCCTAAGTCTCGTAAGACCTTAGTTATTCTCTATACTTCGTCTTAGATACTTACCGATATTTACTAATCTAAGATTTATATAAGTGTTTTCCTAATAAACTAGATTTTATCTATCTTAATTTCTTACATAGGTAAGATTACCTAATTAGGCCTAGCGTATCACGTGATGTGATTAGGTAAGCCCGGGTACTACCTATATTAAAATCTTTTCTTAGAAATATTCCTTTCTTTAAAAAACTTCTTAACTCTTTATAGAGTTTTTTAGATTATTAGGTATATTACCCGATCCTTATAGACATAGATTTATATAGATTTACTATAATTTAGTGCGATTTATATAATTTACTAATTTTCGTGC